GGTAAAACAACGAAGGAAACGAACTGGAAAGGTTAGGAAGGAAAGTAAAAGGAACCTAAGGGGAACGGAGTCCTCGAGTCGAGCCACGGGTGGCGATAGTGCACCCCACTGTGGGGGTGGGGGTCCGGAGGGCGTTCTTGTCAGGTGAGGCCAGGCAAGAAGAGTGTCCCTGGGAGAGTCTGAGGGATGCAGCTCATTGGCCATGACACAGTAGGTCAGGCTGGAACAGAGGGAGAGAAGGGGAAGGGGGCTGGTGATGACCTCCCCCATTAGAGATGTCACAGTGACCTCAGAGCAATGTAAACTCATTAAAGACGCAATTGGATTTGAGCTTTTCAAAAACCACTCCAGTTTTGGGGTAGAAAGTGGTTTAGTTTGTGCACAAAAGAATGAAGACCAGTGTTAACTCACTTGGGTGATGCCAGTGACAGGGGCCGGGGACTTGACCTGGTGGAGACCATAGGAGGTGGGGAGAAGTGACCAGGTTCAAGGAAATATTAGGAGTTGGGGTCAAAGGAATGTACTAATGGGTTGGACATAAGGGGACAGGATGGGAGGTGTCACGATGACCCCCTGGGAGGATGGGGGTAACGTGTTGTGAAACAGGGAACACCAGAAAACAGTACACTTGATCTGAAAGGTATGAGCATTGTCCTGGGTATAGTGAATCTGAGACGTGTGAGGCCACTAAGGAGGCAGCAGGGATACAATACCAGCTGTCCTCAGCATGTGGGTGATAAATAACCAAGACATGTAGGGAAGCATGAAATTGAACAGAAAAAGAACATAGGAGGAAAGAAAAGCAGTCTAGCCCCAAGGACATTCAGTGTCTGGGTCAGGGATGGGGCGGGGCTGGAGGGGGTGACCAGGGAGGTAGGGAAACCAGCAGGGATTGGGGTCACCAAGGCCAAGGACACAAACGGTCATGAATGACAGAGACTAAGAAGTATCCCGGGGATTGTGCAGGACAGTCTCAGAGGGCCCTTCCCTGTGCAGTCATCCTACTCAATAAGAAACTAGAAGAAGAGCAAAGTCACTCAATGCAAGTAAGGGGGGAAACAGTAAAGATACAACCACAAATCAGTAAAATTGAAAATAAGAAAACAACTGAAAAAAATCAATGGGACAAAAAGCTGATTCTTTGAAAAAAAATCAATAAAATTGGTAAATCTCTAGTAAGACTGACAAAGAAAAAGGGAGAAGACACAAATCACTAATATAAAGAATGAAAAAGGGGCTATCACTACAAATCCTACAGCCAGTACAAGGATAATAAGGGAAGAAACGGAGCAATTCCTCAGAACCACAAACAGGCAGAATTGAACCAAGACGAAACAGACTACTTGTAAAATCCTCTAATCATCACAGAAATTGAATTCATAATTTAAATCTCCCCAAAAAAAGAAATCTCTAGGTCCAAATGGTTTCACTGGAGGGAATCCTACCAAATATTTAAAGAAGAATTAACACATATTTTAGAAAATATTTTCTAGAAAATAGAAGAGGGAGAAATATTTCTCAATTTATTTTATAAGGCTAGTATGCCCTGATTCCAAAACCAGACAAAAACAGTATAAAAAAAGAAAACTACAGGTCAATTTTTCTTATAAACTTAGATATAAAAATCCTCAACAATATACTAGCAAATAAAATCGAGTAATGTATAAAAAGAATTATATACCATGACTTAGGTAGAATTTATTCCAGGGATGTAAATCTGTTTCAACATTTAAAAATCAATATATATAATCCACCATACCAGTAAGCTAAAAAAATCATAGGATCATATAAATTAATGCATAAAAATCATATGACAAAATCCAATACCTATTCACAATAAAAAAAAAATCCTCTCAGAAAACTAGGAATGGATGGGGAACTTCCTCAACTTGAAAAAGAACATTTTAAAAGTCCTACAGCTAACATTATACTTAATGGTGAAAGACTGAATACTTTCCTGATAAGATGGGGAACAGGCAAGTGCCACTGCTGCCACTGTTACTCAACATAGCATTAGAACTCCGGTGAGCACAAGATGGCAGGGTAAGTAAATAAAACGCATACAGATTGGAAAGGAAGAAATAACTGTCCCTATATGTAGATAACATGATTGTCTACATAGACAATCCCAAGAAATATACACAAAAACTCCTAGAATAAGTGAATCCAGTGAGTTTGCAGCACACAGATCAATCATATTTCCATATACTAACAATATACATGTGAAAACCAAAATTAAAAACACAGTATTTACAATTGCTCCAAAGAAAAGTACATACTTAGGTATAAATCAAACAAAACATGTATAGGACTTTAATGCTGAAAACTACAGAATGCTGATGAAATAAATTAATGACCTACATAGACAACCTATAAGTAGACCTAGAATTAGATGAACTGTGAATAGAAGTCAAACACTTAAAAGGACACACTGTGATCATGGATTGGAATACTCAACACAGTAACAATGTCAATGCTCCCCAAGTTAATTTAAAGGCATAATGAAATTCCTTTCAAAATCCAAGCAAGGATTTCTATAGACAGAGCTAAGCTTCTCCTTAAACTTATAAGAAAAGGCTTAGGATCTAGAACAGCATAAGCAATTTTGAAAAAGAAGGACAAAGTAAGAGGAATGGCTCTACCTGACGTTAAGGCTTACCACGCAGCTACGGTAATCAAGCAACGTGGTCCCGGTAGAGGGATAGACACGTAGATTGTTGGAACATAATGCAGAACGTAGAAACAAAATCTGACTTTTGACAAAGATGCAAAAACAATTCAGTGAAGGAAAGACAGCCTTTTCAACAAATGGTACTGGCACAATAGAACACTGGCAATGAAAAAACTGAACTTTAGGAATACCATTCAGCCATAAAAACCGACAACTTAACACCATTTGCAGCAACATGGATGCTCCTGGAGAATGTCATTCTAAGTAAGCCAGAAAGAGAAGAAAAATACCATATGAGTTCGCTCGTATGCTGAATCTAAAAAAAAACATAAATACAAACAGAAACAGACTCATAGACATAGAATACAAACTTGTGGTTGCCAAGGGGGCGGAGGGTGGGAAGGGATAGACTGGGATTTGAAAATGTAGAATAGATAAACAAGATTATACTGTACAGCACAGGGAAATATATACAAGATCTTGTGGTAGCTCACAGTGAAAAAAAATGTGACAATGAATATATGTATGTTCATGTATAACTGAAAAATTGTGCTCTACACTGGAATTTGACACAACATTGTAAAATGACTATAACTCAATTTAAAAAAGTTAAAAAATAATAATTAAAATTTAAGGAAAAAAAACTGAACTTTACCCTAAACCTCACACACACTTCACATAATTAACTCAAAGTAGATAATGGACATGAATGTAAAATGTAAAACTTTTAGAAAATAAACGTAGGAGAAATATTTGGAACCCAGGGCTAGGTGAAGAGCTTTCAGACTGACACCAAAAGTACATTTCAAAAAAGGAAAAAAGTAATAAATCAGATCTCAAAGACTTACAGCTTCTGCTCTGTGAAAGGCTATTAAGAGAATGAAAGGACAAGCTATCGACTGGGAGAAAATATTTGCAAACCACGTATCTTACAAAGAATGTGTATCTGGGATATACATAAAAAGCTCTCAAAACTCAACAGCAAAGAAGTAATTCCACTAGAAAAAAACATGAACAGACATTTCAACAATGAGGATATACAGATGGCAAAAATAAAAAAACAGATGAAAGGTGTTCAACAGCATTATCTATTAGGGAAATACCAATTAGAACCACAATGAGATATTGTTAAAATAAAAAAATAGTGACAACACCACATGCTGGCAATGATGTGGTGAAAGGATCACTCATGACACGCCTGGCGGGGATGTAAAATGATACGGCTGCTCTAGAAGAGTGTGGCAGATTCTTACAAAACTAAATATGCACTTTACCATACAACCATGGATTACCACCAAGCAATAAAAAAGAATAAACTATTGACTTATGCAATGATCTAAGTAGTTCTCAGTGGAATCATACAAAGTAAAAAGAAAAAAAAGCCAAATCAGATTACACACCGTTTCCACTTATATATTTTTAAATAACAAAATGACACAGATGGAGAAGAGATTAGTGGCTGCCAGGGGTTGGGGTGGGATAGTACAGAACAGTAGTATGAGGACCTGTTCTAACAGAACTGTTCTGTATCTTGGTGGTGGTGTACATGAGTTTAATCACATACGTGATAAAATTGCATAGAACTAAATCTATACATAAGCGATTGCATATCAAACTGGTAAAATCTGAATAAGGTCAACAGATTACACCAGTGTCAATTTCCTATTGTGACACTGCGCTATATAGTTACGCAAGTTTGTACCACTGGGGGGAAATCTGGTGAAGGGTATACAGGATCTCTCTGTATGATAAAACTTTAAAAGTTTTTAATCTTAATATGATTGCAGCTAAACACAAATAAGAAAAAAAAGACAGTAAAAATAAATTATATTAATAACTCTTCATTATGAATGACAAATTAATCAAGTTTTAATTTTGTATTTTCTCCATTTTTGGATAGGTGGACATATCACTTACATTTGGAATCGTTAATCAACTTGATTAAACACAAGATGAGGTTCAAGGTGGAGGTAATGTTGGGATAAGAGGAGGTGGCCTGCGTGTTCGGGCTGGACACTCATTTCTCCCCCTTGAGGCCCATGGCCTTTTCCTTGAGTGCCTTTATAAACCAAAGAGCAGTTCCTGGTGGAATGGTGTGACGTCATCAGTGCCTCATGGCAAAGGCTCCGGAATCTCAGGCGCCACTGGGTCCCAAACACTTGGCCACGGTCGGCGATTTCCTGCTGTTGCGAGGCTGCGTCTTGAGTAAGTGTGAGGGCCGAGGTCTTGACACTGCCTCAAGGTGTTCACTCAGGGTGGGTGCCACTCTTTTCTGTACCAGACTGAGTCTTGGATCCTGAGCTATGTTTTCCCAAAGGAGTCGCAAGGGATGTGGAAGGGGTTACCTGTGAATCTCCAGATGAATGACTGGGGACACAGAAGGAAGACAAACCAGTCTCAAGTTTGAAGGGAAGAGAGAACAGGAGGGGATGTGGGTGGAAGGAGAACAAAACGAATACTGCGGAAGGAGGAGAGAGCAAAGCCACTCCCGGAGAACTCGCCCGTGAGCCTCAGGAGCCACGAGGACTGTGGGCAGAGCAAGAAGAGGGAGGAACACTGCCCTTAGACGGGGCGAGCGACACTGGGCTTCTCGAGGGGGGCGCTGCCTCCATCAGCTTCAAGGACTGTTTCAGACAGACATGGGCCACTCTGGTCGTCTTTCTGCCAGGCTTGGTTGCCCAGGACTTTCTGGTGGTTCACAGGGATCCTCAGGCAGAGCTGATGCCATAAGCATGAAGGTCACCCCGCTGGACACTAGTGGTGTCGCTGCCACCAGCCATTCTTCCCTTGGGCACTGCTCAGACACGAGCTCTAATCCTGAGTCCAAAGAACTCTAGCCACAGTCAGGGGTCAAACCTTAGACAGATCACAGCATTGCTTCCTTAACTGCAAACGAGGGAAGTTATACGCCTCACCTCACAGATCATTATAAAGACTGAACGAGGTAACTCTCCATGCACTGATCGATCAATATCAATATCAGAAGCTCAATAAACAGTCAGTAACTGTTAGCTACTATTATTGCCATTTTAATTCTTACTGGGTTTCACAAGAAGCAGATGAAGCAAAAAGAAATGGCCTGGTGAGAATCAAGTTGGTTTCCTTCCCCTTTTTTTGTACCCAGAGAAGACAGGATTCCTCCGAGCTCCACACCAGCTGCTCAGAGACGGCTCCAAGCCAACAGGAACAGAGCCAGAAGAGGGAGTGCATGGCAGGGAAAGCAGGTGTGTGTGGCCATTCACCCTTCATGTTTCTGAATGAATGAAGGTGACAGGTTATCATGGCTCCAGCATCACTTCCTCCCTTGACTCCCCTGAGTGTGTGCCTGCAGGGCAGGGGAAAAGGTGTCCAGGGTGAGACCGGAGGTCACTATCTTGTTCACCTGTAGTTATTAAAGACATCTATGACCAGAGAATTTCACATCTGTCTCCAGAGGCGTCCCCCAGGCAGATTAATCCATGGAAAGAGGCACAGGAGAGCAGCTTGCGCCTGGCAAAGAGAGGTAAATATTAATTCAATTCCTACCCTCCTTTATAGACAAGTGCAAAGGGGGTGATGGTCATTCTTCTCTTATCCCTTCAGATGTCACGTGCAAAGTCCTCAAGGTGACCGAGAAGGGAAGAACCCAGTACTTCCCAGGTGGGTTCCTCCCATGATCACACAGGGTCCGTCCTCTCTCCCTGCAGCTCCTCGGAATAGGAGCCCTCCGGCCTCCAGTTCTGAGCCTCCAGAGGCTGTCCCCAAGCAGAGAACCAGGAGGACAAGAGGCCACAAGAGGAAGAAACTGGTGGATGTCAAGGCAGGTATGTGTCCTCAGGCACCCCTCAGCTTCCGTGGCCCTGCACGGAGCGTCAGTTCCTGCTGAGGAATACTTGTCATCCTGTCCTCAGGGGGCAGGGTCCAGGCTTCAGGGTGAGCTGAAAGGGAAGCACTCGGGACTTCCCTGGGGGCCAGGTCCGTGCTCACGTGGAGTCTTGTTCCTGCAGCTGCCCGGAAGAGCACTCCCCTGACCTCCAATTCCACCTCCTTGGAAGCTGTCTCTGAACTGAAGTCCTGGAGGAAGAGAGGGCAGAAGAGGAACATATGGACTGTCAATCATGTTGAGGGGATGAAACTCAGGATAAACAAGAGGAGAAGACCCAGTTACCGTCCAGAAGACCAAGAAGCATTCTACCGGCTGCTGGGTGCGTGCTCTGAGCTGGTGGAGTCCCGGGCCCTTCCAAACTGAGGACCCCAGTGGCTCTGGGATCATCCCCAAACCTCCCCCAGGGCTTGAAGCTGTCAGGCATCCAGGTGGCACGGGAGCAGATGGCTCCGTGTCCACATTCTGGTCCTGCTGTGGTGCTGACAGGGTTTCCTGAGACAAGCTCTTAGAGGGAGAAGTGAAAAAGCAGCTCATAGTTGAGTGTTCAATTATCAAGACATTCCAGGACAAATCAAGGGGGGAATCCTCTGCCCACGTTTATTTCTTCCAGTTAAGATATTAGTGATTAATGATGAAAGAACAAACTAGGTCTTGATGTCTTAATGCTCAAAGTAGGAGACAAAACACACACACACACACACAAACATGCACAGAAATAAGTTGCTCTCAGCCAGTGACAAATGCAAAGAAGGAAATTCTTAAAAAGGCAATGAAACCTAGAGATGGGGCGTGTACAAGAGTAGGAAAGCTTTACAGTGTGGGATACCCAGGGAAGGTCTGCGGAGAAGGCAATGTCAGGGCCAAGGGCAGGACTGGGTGTGGCAGGTTTGGGGACGACATGGAGCTGACTGTCCAGCGCAGCATCCACTAGCCACATGCAGCTATTCAAATTTAATTCTAAATGAGTTAAGTAAGTGTCTAAAATACAGTTCCCCTGCTCACCAGCCACATTTCAAACGATCAGTAGCCCCACATGGCTAATGGCTGCCATCCTGGACAGCAGAGATATAGAACATTTTCATCATCACAGCAAGTTCTACTGGATGGCGCTCCTCTGAGAGCCAGGCTGCCTGGAGAAGGGTCAGGGAGGGTGAAGTGACCCGTGGCCCCTCCATCCTCCCATCTGGGCGAATGGCATTGTCCAGGGCAAGGAGTGAAGGACAAGGGGGACCTGGCATCCTCAGGTCATCACTGGAAAATGGCATCTCCAGGGGACAACTTTAATCCCAGATGAGCTTGCCAGGTAGGTGATCCTCCTACCAGTGAGGGGATCCAGAGAAAAAGGAGGGCAGGAGGGCCAGTGTCCCCAGGGGTCATGAACTCTCCACCATCCATCCAAGGTGCTCAGTTATCAGATGGAGCAGAAAAGTTCTGCACAGTCTGAGCATTACTGACATGGATGTGGTGTCACAGAGGCCCAGCGCCACATCCAAGCTTTGATTTAGGCCAGTTTGTTCAACTTTGAGAGCCAGGTCACATCTCTGCATGAAACACACTTATCACTTCCCATGCGTTGAAGATTTAATAACTATCAAAGTCTGAGCCCTGAAGCTAAGACTCACTGTATCTGTGCCAACGCAAAGAGCAGCAGCTGTCACAGCTGTCACCGATGTTAGGGCTCCCGGCCCACCTGGAGCAAAGGGAGCTGCCTCTGCTTCATGAGACAGAGGAACTGGGAGAAGGCTCCAGCTTTCCTCTTCCCTGTGAAATGCCCCGCACCCCAGGCTCTCTGCTCCAAGGCCCTCATCAATTCTCCGTTCCTTTGCAGAGGATCCTGTTATCCAGAGCTTCTTGGAAGCTGACATTTTCCTGAAAGTGTCTGACAAGGTACCTGCAGCACTAAAATGGAGACTGAGAAGTCTGTAGTGTCACCATCCCATGGGGGTAGGTCCAGAGAACAAGGTGTCTTCCTGGGCTAGAGAAGCCCTGGAGAGACCTGCCCTTGGTGCCAGACAGGAAGGAAGGATGCACTGCTGGTGCCCTGCCCTGGCCCTGGGCATCTCCTCCATCACATCAAAGGGCCATGAGACCCTCAGCAAGGCCGTCCTGGGTGGGGGCGGGACAGCTGGCCCCCTCACACCCTCCCTTCCGTCGAGCCCTGGCCGCCCCGCCATTGGACCCTGTCTCCACACAGTACCTGCTCTCCATGGTGGTGGAGTACTTTGGCCGCGTCGGGCTGCCGGGTCACCTCTACAACAGGATCCACTTCTTCCTGGCCCTGTGAGCACCTCCTCGGGGACCTGCTTTCACTTCTGCCCCAGTCCCCCAGTCCAGCTTCCCTGTCCCGACAGACAGCTTGGCCAATGTGCCTGGAAGGGTCCCCAGTGGTGGTTCCCCTTGGCCCAGAGCAGACAAGGCCTTCAGGGGTCACGTGGTCAGGGCAGGGCAGGCAATGAGTTGGTTCACGGGATAATGAACAGGGCCAGGGAAAACCACTTGCTGCCCAGAGACCAAGTGACCTAAGCGGGAAAACCCCAAGGAAACGATGACAGCCAGAACACTGGCCTGGGCCCGGCACAGCATGCTTGGGGCCTGGCGGGCTTGGTGCTGAGGATGGTCTTGCCTCCTCTGGACCCGGGTCCCCCAGGTGATGGGGATTCCCTGGGCCCCCTCTCCTGGATATACCGCCTCAAGCCCTGGTTCCTCCGGGGTGACCTCGGTACCCTGAGGCTGGGAGCCCTCACTGGGGCTGGGACCAGCCTGCCCTCTTGTCTCGGTGGCAGCTACATCGCCTCCGACATGGAGGAGGACAACCCCACGTCCAAGCGGAGCATCTTCCAGTTCCTGCTCGGCAGGGAGCACTGGCCAGACCTCTACAAGGAGTTCCTCAAGCTGAAGGTGGAATTCTTCCACGCGATGGGGCACCGAGCCTGGGTCACCCTGGAGCTGTGTGAGGAGGTCTGTCGGGGGTGAGGCCTGTCGGGGATGAGGCAGGGGCACCCCAGCAGTCGTGGGGCTGGGCCCTTCCTCCAAGTGCTCACCCTGCGGTGCTTCCCTTTCAGATCCAGGCCCAGAACCCAAATCACTGGGTCTGGAGTCGGGTGCGCCAATGCACCCCCTAGGTCCCCAAGGAATGGAGTGGGGGCTGCAGGGGGTCCAGGTGAGTGCAGTCACCTCCAGGACTGGAGGAAGCGCCACTGCATCCCTTAATGTATTGCTAGCAGAGTAAGGGCTCTGAGACCTCCCCTGGCACAGAAAGTAATTACTGTGTTGATTTCAAAATTCTTCAAATGGATTTGATTATGGAACCATGTCTGAGGTCCCAATTTGCATATCAACTTCTTTTTCTTTTTTTTTTTTTAGGAAAACTCTTGGACATGCTGATCTAAGTAATGAAAATCTCTGCAGGGTTTTGATCTGAGTTGAAATTTTTAAATATAAATACATGAAAAACACTGAGGTCATCCTTTCTGGAAAAGGAGCTGTTACCATGGTGGCTCTTGGGGAAAAAAGAGAAAGAGTAATTCCAACACGTCATCAGAAGTCTTGTGTGTTTTGCTCCCGCTTGATGCAAGCTCCCCTGAGCTGCGTCCCTGAAGGATGTGTCAGGGTCTAGGGTCACCATGGACGGACGGAGCTCCTAGAGCTCTCGAGTCTCTGAACAAATAAAATTGCTGGAAAGTAAAGGAAACAAGCACACATGCAGAACTGTGTGGAAGCACATGGCAGACAAGACATTTATAGAAACCTAGCACCTGACTAGCATCACGCTCCAGCATTTGTTTTCTTTGGCTCAAATTTAGTGTTTGTGTGCGGATTTACTTGAAGCGGAGGGAGTCCTTCACTGAAATGGATCAGGAACACCCTGCTTGGGCAGACGGTTGCACTAGAGCAATCCTGTGAGCTGAGCCCCTCGCTGCAGGGGGTGACGGGGCTCGTTCTGACCCCAGGAGAAAGAAGAGAGGAAAGCAGGTCAAGTGTGTTTTGAGATAAACCAACTTTGATATAAGTTTCATTCACCCAGTTTTTTATTTGAGGACCAAGAATATGTCAGGACTACATACTCCCACTTTGTATATCAAGAGCCTTAAAATTCCAAAGAAAATAGTATTTTTATCACAATAAAAGAAAAGAAAAATGTCAGTTGCTGGGGCCCCTCTTGGGTCTGGTCACTCGAGAGAGCAATGGGGGTGACAGCTGATTTCCCTGAGGTCGGAGCCCCTGTCCTCTGTGCACCTTGTGGTGCTGCCTGTCACTCTGATGGCACTTCCTCTCTTTTCTCGTAGCTCCCGCCCACTCCTCCTCCTCCCCTTCTGCCTCCCCCTCCCCCGCTGAGAGGCTGCCTCCTTCCCAGGCTCCAGGCAGCTGAAGACAGACAGCACTGAGCCTCCAGCTCTCCTCAGACCTGCAGGACAGAGGTGCCTGGAGAGCCTGGACCACAGCAGCCTGAACCTGGAGTGCTGAAACCGGCCCCCAGCCTTCCAGGGGTGTCAGCCCACAAAGGCCCTGACTCCTGAATTCCCTGGAAGGGTCTAGCAGTAACATGGAGGAGGCAGCCCAGGGAGCCACGAGACCAGAGCAGGAGCCTCTACAGAGACTGAGGATGGGGAGAGGGAGAAGGCACGGAGAGAGTCCAGGAAGAGGCCTGGACCACCAAGGAGAGGAACCTGAGAAGAATCCAAAGGTGACCAGAAGGTGGTAAAAAGACAGGAGGACAAGGAGCATTTCAGGGACAGCTGTACTCGGAGGCCTTCCTGGCAGTCTGCTAGACAGCAGCCTCACCCAGAGAAGAGATGGACAATTTCAGCCAAAGGACTAACGGAAGGCATGGAGCACCCTGGTGGGCCGACCAAGGCTGACACAGTCGAATAGAAGGTGGGAGATCATACGCCATTGTTCACTCTGGCATTACAGACATAACCCAACTTCCAAACTGAGAGGAGGGAGAGAGAAGGGGGAGCTCATGAATGGTGCCAGGGGGGCACCATGTGCCATCAAAGCTGGAAACAGGACAGTGGAAGCCGAGGTAAGGAAAAGGAGGACTCGAGGAGTCCCATGAAGACAGTAACATGTGAAGAAGTCATACGTCGAATGCAGTCACAAGAACACAAGCCATCCTAAATGCCAGAGGTCACGACGACCACACATTTTTGAGAGCAGAGCAAATAGACCAAATAAAGATACCCAGTAAATACAAGAAGTACAGTATAAATATAATGTAAGAATATAAAAATTAAGAGACAACTCAGGTCATATTATTTGTATTAATAAATCTGAACTCATTGCTGAAAGAAAAAGATCTTCAGACTGAATCACAAAGCAAAACCCAGCTGTGCGGTGTGTAGGATTATCCTTAACTCACTCAGAGGTGCTAACAATAGACACACCCTCAACTCAGCGTACGGATTGTGATTTTTACACCAAGGAAGGAAAATTAGGAAAATTAAGGCTCAAAATCCTGCAGACAGACTGGGAAGGTCACTTGGGGTGAGGGTGGGGGGGCCTGAGGGCAGGTGCCCAGAGTTGAAGGCCATCCCGGGGCCTGGGCTGGTCCACTGCAGCTTGATTTGCTCAGTAATGCTCAGGGTTTACAGCGATCTTTTTGCACAGCTATTTTAGACAGGAAGGTTTATTACTGGGCAGCTGCTCTACAGTATTATTGGGTAAAAACAGCAACTGCCAGACACAGTCTAGCTCTTCACCTCCTTTTTCCCATGGAAATGTCTAATTTCTCCACGAAATTTCTGACCAGGTTGCCAGGAACCTCACAGAACAGTTGATTTTGTAAAAAAAAAAACTCTTTTCAGCTTTATCCCATGAGGGTTTAGCATTTCCTTTGAGTCCCTGACCCTCCCAGCTGCAATCACAGGACTTGCAGTCCGTGACACCCAGTGTGGCAGAAGGTCGAGGTGGAAGCAGTTGTGCTAAGGGCTGGTCCTCTCCCCAGGGCAGCCGCTGAGGGGCAGACCCAAAGCCAACAGGGCCCAGGGGACACACTGTCCCCATCCACACACCAGTGACTCAGTCCAGGGAATTCTGACACAAACAGGGCCAACCCGACAGCGTTCCAGTTTCTCAGCTAGAAGACTGCCCATTCTTCCTTGAGTCCGTGAGTCCCCTCAGCACATTGGGGGAACCTAAGGCCACTCAGGGAGTCACTGCCACCGCAGCTCTGAGGTTGGTGCCATCGGGGAAGTTAGTGCAGGGGTTACAAGATTACAAAGAAATCTGAGGGTTTCAGAGAACAACTGAGGGTTTGATCATGGAAAAGGCAGGCAAATAGCAGTGAGAGCTCAGAGAGGATAACCGAGCGCTGGAAACTCCACAGGCAAAGTCCAGGGGAGGCTGAGGAGTGGGGACTCGGGGATGGACTCTGTTCACATCTGGGTCATTACACCCCACCAAGGCATCAGAGGGTTTGCTCGGGAACCCAAGCAGAAAGGATGCTGATAAAAGGAAGCAGGTGGAAGGGGTTTTGGAGCAGAGGATGGAGAAGCCCCAGCAAACCTGCAGAATGGGGTGCACCAGCCAGAGCTGGTATGAAGGCCCTGCAGCCAGGGTGCACTCCGTGCCCTGCGTCTGCCTGTAACGGTTCCGCCGCCCCTGCCACCTCCGGGCTGTGCAGGGGCGCCTCTCGCTGGCACCGCCCTGGCACTATCACCTGGCCCCACGTGGGAAGCACAGGTGGAAGCCGAGGAGACAGAAGAGGAGGTGAAAATGCTAAGGTGACACCCAGCCCCCACAAAGGACACAGGGGATGACCACAGGTGTACCTGTGCGGCACAGGGAGTCTGCAGGGAGATGACAGACGCCCTCCTCTGGGATTTGCAGAGATTTTAACACGTGAGGGCTGGAGCGCAGCCCATTTAGATCTTATGGGGCAGGAAACCGCAGCCAGGGATGCTGGTTACAGTGGATTTGTGGATGATGCTTTCTTCAACTCCAGAGTTACACACATTCACCCAAAATATTTTCTTAATCTCTGAAATGGTACAGTAAGCAAACTGAAAATATTCTTAGTAAGTGGAAGATACGCACAGAAATAAACACAAGTGAACGAAACACAAGTGGCACTAACCAGCTTCCAGCCACTGTCCCTGTGATGAGTCCCCCCTCCCCACGTGACTCCCCAGATCAGGATCCAGCATGTCTAGGCGCTCAGAGCACATGGTCTACAGCTTCACAAGGCACTGCGCCTGCACAAGACTCAGGATGGCACCGTTAACCACAGACATGAGGCAACAGACTTCACACCTGAGTACTGGAGTAAAAGCAGTGGAAATTAAGGATGTCAGATTTTCACTAAACTTAGTATAAAGTTAATTCTTTTCCTAAATTTCCTGTTTCATATTCTAATGTACCATGAAAGAAATACTTTTAGCTAAAATTTTAATTGAGATTGTTGTTATAAAACCAAGAAAGCAACACACAGACTATTCAATTAACCTAATTCCAAGAAATTACACAGAAGTCTTCGTTTTTCTAAAGATGCACAGAGAAAGGAAGAATCAATTTGCTTTTTAAAGGAGTTCATAAACTCTGCCTGGTGCAACGTCCTCGTAACTTACGTTAAATCTGCCTCTTCCTGAGCATCTACTGGACCAAGAAGAAAGGCAGGAAGGGACCAGGTTCTTGGGTAGAAACAGTGTGGTCTGGGACCCCAAGCTTGTTAGGGTTGCGATGGGGAGCGGGGTGGCCCGGGGCCAGCTACCTCCCTCCCTGAGCCGCAGGGTTTGGGCTGTAGAACAAGGGGCAGGACCAGATGCTGCCTGAGGGAGCTTCCGGTGCAGCTGCCTGATCTGGGTCATGCTCGTCAGAAGTCTGAAAGTCCTGCCCTTGGAGCAGCCCCCACTCCCCATCCCAGCCTCACCTTCACTCAAGGACATGAGATGGAGCAGAGCAAGAGGGTGACCAACAGGCAAGTCATCCACGGGCAAAAATCAAGGATGTTCCAGGGATTTTTTAAAAAATTTAACCAAAAAAGACTTCTGAAGCTTGTGACTGTAATGAGAAGCAACCAATGTATTTCTGAGTACAGGGGACCTGGCCTTGGCAGCAGGAAAAGACATCACCTGGGAACTCTGTAGAGCAGGCAGAACCTGCCCAGTACAGGCTGGGGGCCGAGGGAGGCCTCCAGCCTGGGGACACCCTCTGCAGTAGCTGCTTCTCTGACCTCACCTCTGCTTCCCTCGACTGCTGGCTGGAAACTGCAGACATTAGGGGTACAGAGGTGACCAAATCCTATCCCCTCCCTCAGAGCTTACTTAACTGGAGAGATCTTCATGCAGTGAGGCATTTTCCACATTTGGTCAGTATGAGGCTGGGGAACCCAGAAGAGGGGCCCTCAACCCTGTATGAAGGAGGCAACAAAGACTTCCTGCTTTGGTCTCAGACTGGTCCAGGGCCTTCAGTTTCACTCAGCTCCCGATATCCCCTACCAGCCTGGCCCACTCCCGCCCCTCAGCCTGGGCTTTGGCATGTGCTTCCCTTGGAATCAGCACAAATCCACTCCTCTGACAGCTCCGGCCTCAGCTCCCATTCTCTGGCTTCCACTCCAAATCCCGGCCCCCACACTCTGGCCTGGTCTGCCCAGCAGGCTCATCGGCCTCCCGCCAAGTGGGTCTGCACACTGATCATCGGGCTGAGAGACGAGAGCTCCCCTCCTGCTTGCCTCCTCTAGGATGTCAGGAGGTCCCCTCAGCTGGGACATGCCCCTCTCCATAAGCTGTGCAGTCAGCTGGTTTCTAGACAAAGAGTGAGAAAGAGGCCTCACTCAGGGAAGATTAGACAGCACCAAGGAGAAGTTTTGTAGGGCTTAACCCAGTAGTGTCCTCCTGCTAAGGCCAGGGGTCTCTGCCTCAGAACTGCCCACACGTTCACGCCCACACTCCTTGGCAAGACCCCCAGCGGAGGAGCACAGGTGCCAGCATCCATCAGGGAAGCAGGGCCACCCTCTCCGAGTGCTGAGTGTGTGTGATGGCACTAGTTCTTTAATTCTGTCCATTTCCAGCTGTGTAAGTAGAAAAGCTGGCTGGAAGGAATTCCCAGTCAGTCAAGAGTCATACCGTGACAGACGTTACTAGCACTGACCAGTGTCTGGCTCTCCCCTTTGTGGAAGAGCACTTAGGGGGTGGACCAGTTTGACTACTCTGCGCCCACAGGCCGAAAGCGGACGGGGCCTGTGCCACTCCTGGGCCAAAACACTAAGAGCCGGAGGCACTTCTCCAGCTCTTCCCCTGCCACGGCTGTGGGGAGGCTAAAATGTTCTGGATGGTGAGAACTACACTCTCAAGATTTCTCGAGTGCCCACACAGGGCTGCACTGACTTCTTCCATGAACCTAGCACGTCTGCTCAAGAGCAGACTGTCCAGGAGACCCTCCTTGCCCCTCAGCAGGCCCCAAGTATAAAGACAAGGCTGTTCGCAGGCCACCTGCATGCCTCTCCTGCTCTCCCCCTCCTGCGGCCTCAGTTCTGCTCTTGTTGACAACATTCTAATGACTGTTCTCCCTCACACATGCTCATTCAGATGTGTGCAAATAACTCAAGTCATTCTTCCATCAGAGAAGGGCTTACAAATTATAAACCAGGAAGAGTGAAGATAGCAAGTTGCCCACATACTGAGCTCTTCATATCCTGATTCACATGGACCTCCCATAATCTACCATTTTAACTTTTCTCTATTAAGCAGAAGAAAAATTATGTAAGTGTGAAGGGAAGCACATTTCTTTCTCCCAATCAGCCACTCTGCTGACGTGTCACAAGCAAGGGCAAGTCCCCGGCGGGGCACAGGTGGGTCTGACGAGAACCACTGACTCAAGACGTCTGCCTTCCAGACACGAGCCCCCTTTGCAGAAGCAAATGTCACATTGGTTTTTGTCAGGATCTCAATGGAAACATCTCTGTTTGCCTTAATTTTTACTTTTAAAGCTAAACCCCACAGTTCAGGATGCGGAAACATGAAATCACTGGATGGGCCTTGCAGCTTCTACCAGTTTACGGCCCCACCGGCCATTCAGGACACACAGGTGCACGTCAGAATCAGGGCAGCACGGAGCCGCCCTCTTCCTGGACTGGAAATCTGAGGTTGGACACACCTGTACATGAATACCTTCGTCATCGTCTAGTCCAGGAGCCCGACACACACGTACGTTCTCAAAATCGTGAGTGAAAATGAACTGTCTTTTATTTAAAAATACAATTTCTGAAGACCTCTCTGGAGTGGAAATTTCATATTTTCTCTATTTAGAGCAGGCTTCGTGTTGGGCAACTCTTCATTATAGTATAAATCTCCTTTTCAAGACAATTGATCACACTATGGGGATGTCTGGCACCATTACAGGAAGTACAAACTTACTTCTGACCAGGTAATGGTGACACCTTAGAAAATGCAACAAGGGTTTTTGCTGCTGCAGAAAGTAAAACTTTATGACAGGGCTTCTTTAAAAACTTCGCATTTTTGTGCATAAAGTCACTTCACCTGAATCACCATAGCTGGAAGACTTAAAAAACCAATATCCATCCCAGCAGACTGGTCTATTCTCTGAAACCCCAAACTAATCATCCAGAGTTTTGAAATCAAACCAAAGAATTTTATTTACAAAAGTAAATTTTAACTCACTGTTATATACCATATAATGTTAATGCCGACAGCAACAGAGTCTCTGGGATATTTAAAACATTTAGATTAAGGTTTGTGCAGGTCACTTCCTCCCAGCTATATTATAAAACTTATAAATGTCCCTTTAGCTTTGTTGTTTGGTCACGCTTTTGTGCAGAAGTCATGTTTCAGGGTAGGCTTACCACCAGACATGATCACATGACCATTGGCTGTGGATTTCCAAGAAGCAAAGGCGCCAATCTCAGCAAAGCGCGCACGGGCATCTTCAGCTGTTTAAATTTGAAGAGGAGCTCCGCAAAGCTCGTGCTCCCTACGGAAATGGAAAGGGGTGGGAGGAAGGGTCATATCTCCAAATAAATTCAGCCATACATCCTTTCTGAAGAAAGCTTCAGACACACGATCATGTTTAAAGCTGGCATTCTTCCCTTTGAAAACAATCACCAAAAGACTGTATTTAAATTATGAATTTCCCTAGTGCACTGTAATGATTTATATAACTTTTTAATTTATCCATTCTGCACTTCAGGAAGGGACCTATGCTGTATGTGAAACTATTAATACCGTTTAAATACATACATTATTTAAATATAATTAATAAGTGTGCCCGCCTATCTGTATCTGATTCTACATTCAGAAAAATACAGTCAGGTGCTAATATCTTAAACTCTCCATTAGGAAAACATTCAGACACACAAAAAACAAGGTACCTGTTCACTGTAAAGCTTTACAATATCAGAAATCAGTATTATATGATTTTTAAAAATCCAAACTGAAAACCCAGAAAATAAAGAAAAATAACTACAACAAAAATCAATTAACAGAGAAGAACAACATGAACATTTGGTTTATCAGTATACACTGGTAGTTGGGCCCTGTTAAGAACTCAGAAAAAATTCTCAACAATAAAACCCAAACCCGAATAAAGCGGAAAAACCTAACTAGAGAAAATAACTCAGGAGAAATGCCTCCCACCGTTAGTGGGAACTAAAACCGCTCGTGGGTAACGCAGGTGCTGGAGAGGGTTCAGACATGCAGTTACCTTCCAGGCCGATAGATGGCAGGTGCCGTGGAGCCGGCACCGAGTGGTAGACGAGGAAACAGGCCAGCATGCTCAGCTGCGCTTCCCCACAGGGCTGCCCGTTGAGGTAGGCGTGCACACACACGTCACCCCCAGCTGTGAGAGAAACACAAATGGAACAGAACCGACTCACTACAGAACTGAGCGGCCCAAGGAATGCCTTCTTTTTGTTACTTTTTCATCAAGAACTCATCGAGCACTTACCGTATGCCAGACAGGCCCTGTGCTGGGCATTAAGGCTACTGGGGTAAAGCAGATGACTGCCTGTCACTGCCGAGTTTGGAGTATTGTGGGGGACAGAGATATTACGTACCCAATGATGCAAACTGAAGCTAGTCACAAATTATGATGCGCGCCATGAAGGTGCAGTGGTCACCTGTCTCCCCAAACACCCACTTTATTACCACCCTTCCCCCCACCGTGCAGCATTAGAGGGGACTGACTGCCACTCCAGGACCGGATCCTGATTAGTCTTGGTCAGAGCTTCTCAAACTTGAACATGAATCAGAATCACCTAGAGGACTGATTAAAAACAGACGGCTGGGCCCCACCCCCACAATTACTTGGATGAGGCCAGAAAAACTGCATTGCTAACAAGTCCCCAGGTGATCCTGCTGCTACTCCTCCAGAGACCACACTTTGAGAACCACTGGTCTGGGCCAATCAAGGCAGCCCCATTCCCCTGGTACAGTGACTGGTTCGGGGACAGGCAGAGCTAAGCCATTCAGAGAGAGACGCTCTCTGCCACAGGGACTGACTGAGGAATGTGCATGAGCTCCAGTTCAAGCTAGAGACAGGAGGAAATGCTTGACAAAATGTCTGCTAGAGGCTTTTGGGAAAGAAGTTTCCTCATTCTTATGGCAAAGCTCCTGGAAGCAACACTGTTCTTCTCTGAGCAAGATGCTGAGCTCAAGGCAAGGAACTGTTATGGTTATTTTATTGCCATCAAAAAAAAAAAGTACCCTAAGGACAAAGCCATGGCAGAGAGTATAGCTGAGGGAGCCTCAGAGAAATGGAGCTGAAGCCACTGGAATAGGACCACCCTTCAGCCTGCCGTACTGTGGACTTCCAATTATGTATGTTCATCTGTGTCCTTACTGTTTGCGCCAGGTTGAGTCAGGACAAAGGCATTCTGATACAGAGAAAAAGGTTGAGAGAGAGAAATAAAGATGGCAGGACAGCTGCCTGTGGCCTTAGAGGCCTAGGAGGAAGGGGAGTTTAAATTGAGGCTGCAAGTATGAGTATGAGTTGGGCAGGCAGAGCATGAGAGGAAGAGGTTCTTGGGAGGGGAAGCAGTCCGGTCAAGTAGTGAGCAGGAGCTCTGTGCTCTGAGGGAACTGGAGGGGACCAGGTTGTCCAAGTGGGGTTCTGTTCTAGGACAGAAGCAGTAAAATGTGGACAGAGTCAAGAGATATTTAAGAGTGGGGACTGAAAGAGTAATGGACTGGCTACTGCAGGAGAGAGGAGAGGGAAGGGGAGGGAGGAAGGAGCAAGGATGAGTTTCAGAAAGGTCAAGGAAGGAATGACAGTGAAATCGAGATGGAACTGAGAAAGGATGGTCAGAGGTTAAAAAAAAAAAAAGAACTAGGGAAGTGCACTGTCACAGAAGTCAAGGGAGGCCTGTTTCCATAAAAATGAGACAGTGATAGGAACAACGCCAGGAGTCCACGGAACTTGACCATGAGGATGTCAGTCTGGTGGGAGGCAGAAACCTTTGGGGTGGGCGGCAGGAGTGATAAAGGAGGCAAGGAGCGACTCTTCTCTGACAGTGTATCATGAAAGGAAGGAGAGAACACGGGAGCTATGACTTCTCTTCAATGACGTTCTCACGCCTACTTGTTTTTTGTTTCACTGATTTTCTCTATTTTCTGTTTTCAATTCCATTGATTTCTGCTTTTGTATGCTTGCGTAAGGTTATTTTGCTTTTCTTTTTCTAGTTTCTTGAAGTGAGAACTTAGATTAGTGATTTGGGACCTTCCTATTGCAAATACTTAGTGCTGTAAATTTCCCTCTCAACACTGCTTTAGCAGGAAGACTTAAGACTACAAAATTTCAACATTTACTCTGTGTGTACAGTAGTTAAGAAAGTGTAGTACTGGCAAAAAGATGATAAACAGATAAATGGTACAAAACTGAGTCCTGAAACACTCACTTTTACAGTCCACTGACTTTCAGAGAAGGACCCCAAAGGAATTCAATGAGAAAGAAAAGTCTTAAATCTTATCAATAGCAAGGGTCTGCTATAGGTGATCAAATGCTAAACTAAACACCAAAACTTACAAATAACTTGAATTTTTCCCCAAACATGAGAAGAAAAATGATTATCATACTTTTATAAATTGTGGAACTACATGACCTTTCAAATCCCAAGAGGAGATAACAGACCAGATATGGGTGTTAAACACAAACTGGGAGTTTGAAATGGCTGTTTTCCATGTATGTCCCTCACAATCTGGTTGACAATTTTTTTGGAAATTCTTTTTTTTTTAAAAGAAACAATTAGTGCACTGATTTGGGAGGAGAGAAGGATGCAGACGGGAAATGCGAAGGCAAGGTACTCCCTCGTGTTTGCCAAAAACCACTGCCCCACACCCTCCGCCCCCATCACCCTTCTCTGGGATGGGGCCCTCCCTCTCCCTCCTCCCCTACACCCACCTGACCTCAGCCTTTAGTGATTAGGCAGAGCCCACCCCGGCTCTAAAGCTGGGTGAAGATGGGCTCCAATCAACCTTTCTTCCCCCTCCTTCCACCTACCCCCTCATTCCTATCTCCTGTCTAAGTAAAATACAGAAAAGCCATCGCAGCTGGTACCTGGGAGAAGCAAGTCTCAGAGCCGGGGGCGGGCAGACAGAGAAGCCTCAGCCAGGTGCAGTGGGACAGCTAGTTTCAAATTTAATTATATTCACATCCCTAGGTTCTGTCAGTTACCAGCAACTTTAAAGAATCAAGAACTGTTACTACTGATATTACCAGGGCCAGTATTTACCCAAAGCAGGTTGCTGTCAGACATGTATTAGAAGCATTAGAACCGAAAAGAATAAACAGATCAAGGAACTGACTACTAAAAATCCATCTCAGGCATCTATTACATATCAGACAGCTTTCCATTTATCAAAAGGCCCTGCCATTTGCCTCACATGAGGCATCATTACTTCTGCACTGTGAGGAGTAACCTCACCACCTCACTGCAGTCACAAGTCAGTACTTCCACTGACAGGGAGCCAGAGTTAATGAAGTTCCAGGTTCTCACTGACTGACTCAGAGCTACCAAAGCAAGCGTTCCCTCTAAGCACACATGAAGCTTTCAGTGTGCACAGGGTGGAGGCACCAAAAAGGGCCTCAGGTAGGTGACAGGCCACACCGCTAAGAAAAAGAAGAGGGAGGCACTGGAAAGGAAACACGATCTGAAGCCAGAAAAGATACAAGTGTCAAGTGGTGTTTAAAATGCTACATGTATATTCGACCCCTGGCTTATAAAGCAGAGTTAAATACACCTGTTAAGGAAGTTAAAGCAGATAATCAGAGTCTAATTCACCTAGCCGGAAACGTTTCACCCGCAGCCATTCTGGACTGTACTCAGGCTTGCCTTGCTTACCAACGAGGAAGTCAGAACAGAAACGCCTGAGTTCCAGGGCAGCCTGGAAGCACGAGGGGCACCACCTGTTACTACCTTGCAGCCACTGGTCCAGAGCGTTGTCAACAGTGCACTTCACCACAGGGAGGAACTCCGAGCTCATAAAGAGCCCTCGTTTCGGGTGGTTCTGCAGCCGCTCCTGGTGGCTTCTGGAGCTGAAAAACTCTAACACCAACTTTATCTGCCAGAGTTCAGACGTCTCGGACATTTCTCTTCTTCCCAGTCTTCTCACAGCCTTGCGGAGAAAAGAGGACAGCAACCAACTTAATGACGGAGTGCAGATGCTCTGTCACCTCCTTGGAGTTGTACACTAGAATGTCACTTAAATGTGGTTCATAAAACCAACGAAGAGCAGAGGGGAACCCACTCTGTGTTTTGATGCACTCTGCCCCACAGAGGAGCCCTTTACTGGGTTTAGATACATGGCCCACTGTCTTTGAACAACTTTCATGTAAAAAGCAGCAACGGCAAATGAGCTCATTCTTGGCTCAAAGGCTCTGAAAAACAAAAACTCAACAGGTCTACAGCCAGTCACCTCTGGGAGACCCAGGCTGGTTACAATGACGTGGCCAGGATCAGGCCAGGGATCCCAGGGGTCAGAGGGCAAAAACAATATTACTGATAATGCTGTTCTTGGGACCCATCTGCAAAGTACCCACGGCTGCAACCAGAAGGTATGTTCTATAGATACCTGCCCGCGACTGCGAGGGGGTGAAGTTTCAGAGCATAAAAAGAGGAGAACACACACTCAGTCAGCAACTGAAAAACACAACTCATTACTTGGCTGCTGTATAGAGACACTACGAGAAGCAGTAAGAGCGCGGACATCATTTATTCACACTTACCAATCAAAAAAGGTGAATGCCAGACAATGACAGCATTCTAGGCCTACTTGGTTATACTGGAACTTGCCTTCTAACTGAGAACGCTACATTAAGTTAACCCTGGTTTTTTGCAAACTACCTCCTGCATTTTCCCACTGAGCTTTTCAGTAGAGATTATTTTTACATTAGAGATTACTTCCTTTGGCTTTAGACACTGAGTCCCAAATTCTCATCTGTGAACTCATTATATCATATTCACTCAAAGAGCTGTTCAAAACTATAGATCCTGGACGACAGAGCTCAGAAATTCTGATGCAGTAGCTACGGAATGGGACTTGGAGGATCTGTATTGTTAAGATTTTCCACATAAATTTTAGCCAAGTTAGAGAACTATTAGCTTGGTTTAACTGCAAAATTGATTTTTAAAAAAATAAATTAATTAAAAAATTGAGCCAGAAACATATGAAACGATTTAAAAGCCATATGTATTATTAATAACCTAAAGTGAGTAAATTAGTCCAATCCTTTAGGAATGTTGTCAGGCATTATCTTCTGCATTACCTCTCTTTCAGGCTCTTTTAAAAGAGCAACAATATGAAAGAAATAAAAAAGTGACTCCAGCTCCCTAAATCCCTACATACTGATGCCACGACCTCTGCCAGCCTAGTCGCACAGGGGTGACTGCCATCACCGGGGCACTGTTCACTTACTACTTACTGCTCAATTGCACAATGTTTTCCATGAAGAGGCTTTGTCAGCAGGGAGGCAAGAGACCACACATGGATGCTAGGGGAGAAAGGGAGGGAACATGCTCTTTCTTTCTTAGTGAGAAGAGAAGGCAAGGAGGAGAGAACAGGAAACCTTGGGGTAAGACAGCCCACCAAGCGGCACTCCAGGGATCATAAACTCTGAGTTTTGGTATGTACAGAGCTTTCAACTTTGGTAGGGATTCCTTTTTTGAAATTCTAAAAGAAAATGAGAAACTAAAAAGATGGACAGGTAGGGAACCTTACCTCATTGTTCGGTATGTTACCTGAAATACAAGATCAATCTCATCAGAACTGGAACAGGTGTTGGCACCATACCTGATCCATCGCTATGTATGCCGGCAACATCTCTGGGGTCTCCTGAGTCACACATTCATACAGCACTGAAGAAAAGAGATCCAGAATTTCCTGTTTCTGTGGAAAACCAGAATCTTTTTGTAGCACATCAATGTATATTCCAAAATCAATTCAAAAAACAACTATACAGCAACTCCTATGGTCCATTAAGTTCTGCAGTGAATGATATAAAAAGGTAAAACAGCTAGGTCTTTATAAATCACAGTGTATGCAACATTAAATATCAATAAAATACAACCAAAATTAAGTTCCAAGGGACAGTTAAGGACATAACTGCAGTAGAGGAGAGGAAGGGATCAAGCTGGGCAAAATGAACAGAGATACGACTTGGGTTGGGCTGGCAAGAACAGGATCTAGAAAGGGCACCCGGCATCCACAAAGATGGAGTAGAAACGCTGAGCAGAGCAGGTGTGGGGGAGGCAGCAGGGCCAAGTCGAGACGGGGTTAAGGGCAGGCACGGGCTTTCCCAAGGGACCTGTGGCCTTGAGCGCAGGCCCGGCCCTCACTAGCTAGCTGTGTGATCTTGGACATATGATGCCTGTAAGTGGCAGTTTCCTCATCCATAAATGCAGAACAATAAAGCCCATACCCTCAGGGTCAGAAACAAACAAAAAATTTACAAAGAGTACTGAGCAGAGTGCCCAGCATACAGCACAGGTTCAATAAATAAGAGGCAGGAAGGTTATTTCACTCAACTCTCAAAACAACAATGTAAGGTAGGCTCTATTATAATCCCACTTTTAGAAATAAAGAAACTACACCTCACAGAGGTTGAAAAAATTTCCCCAAGGCCACACACGCTTGTAAGCAACAGGCCATCGATTTCAGATCACCTAGCTCCCACATCTAATCCCTGCCACCAGACGGATTAAATCAAAGATCTGCCAGCACCCTTTGAATCCTGAAGGTAACAGTTTTATGACCAACAAAAGGAAGGTTAGAAAAGAGAAAACAACAACAACAAAAACAAAAACAAAAAAGCAAAGCATAAATACAAAACAGAAATAGACTCATAGACATAGAATACAAACTTGTGGCTGCCAAGGGGGTGGCGGGGGTTGGGGGGAGGGATAGACGGGATTTCAAAATTGTAGAAAAGACAAACAAGATTGCACTGCAGAGCACAGGGAAATTTACACAAGATCTTGTGGCAGCTCACAGAGAAAAAAATGTGACAATGAATATATATATGTTCATGTATGACTGAAAAATTGTGCTCTACACTGGAATTTGACACAACATTGTAAAATGATTATAGATCAATAAAAAATGTTAAAAGAAAAAAAGAGAAAACAAGAATTAATTAAATTAAGTAAAAACAAGGGACAGGCAGTAAACACTGAACACAAGGAACAGTGCAAGAACGGACATGAGAAAGTATCACCTGTCAAAACTAATGTCCTACAATTTTAAGTTGTTTCTTCTATCATGGTAGGAAGTTACTGAATTTAATAGCTTTAGACCTTAGAAAATCTGCATTTGTCAAATAAAAATCATCCAATGTGCCTGACGCATGTCATCAACATCCGAGACAGAGTCGGATGTTACAGGTTTCTGCTGGTGTCCACAGACAGAAACAGGAACAAATTCGAATCTTAGAGCTGAGCAAACTGTGTAATATATACCTGACCCATGTTCACAGTTGGTTTGCAGAAATACTCAGCAAACGACAGAAGTGCTGGATCAGAAGTGAACGCTGAAATCGTTTCAGGCTGAAAAAAAGAAAACAAACAACAAGTGTAAGTGAGACAATAAGGATTCTTGCCATTACTACTCAAACTGTAATGCATGCAGTTGTAAAAAATCGACCTCATTTTTTTCACACGATGTTCCCACAAAACCCAAGACTGTAAAACTTGCTAGCGCTTCAACAACCTGTTCTAAAGTTACAAGCAGCTTTTGCACAAGCTGCCACGAGCTACTGATTTATCAAAAGGCCTAACAGAAATAGGGCTTTCTTACACAACTCACCCCAAAAGGCTTTCCCCTCCTTCATTAACTAACTGAAAGATACACTAGAAACCAGAATTGTTACTGAAAAGAATACAGATTATCACTCTAATAAGCCACTCACAAAAAGACCAGTGCCGTCTGAAGGTCACTGGAACCATCAGTCAGAGAAAGGAGAACGGTGGGTGCCAGGGGCTGGCGGGGTGGAGAGGGGCGGGGTCGGTGCGGATGGGGAGTCAGGGTTAATAGGGACAGTTTCAACTGTGCGAGAAAAGAGCTCTGCGGATGGATGGTGGTGATGGTAGCACAACAACATGAATATACTCAGTACCACTTAACCGTACACTTAAAAGGATGAAGGCAGTAAACTGTTAGGTGTATTTTACAATTAAAAAAATGGGAAAAAAAGGGTAGGGGAGACTATCACTCGAGGTTCAAGGCTGAAAACAGAATACGAAAGTATTACCATTTTCCATCGAGGTTTATATTTCACTTCTGAACTCCCAGCAGGCAGGAAATTGAGATATCTTTTAATTTTTATATACTTCCCCCATTCAAACTCAAGTCTAAACATCTATTTTCTTTACAAATTGGATTAGGGTCTTTGAGATGGGCTCCAGTGTATATAAAAGCAATAGAGCTAATTCAAGTTAAACTCTCTCCAAAACTCCTTCAAAAGTATTTCATAGAGAACCTATCGAATGCTGACAAACAGAATTCACTGATGTCAACTATGTCTGCTTACTCCCTGGAAACTACCGTAAAGGCCCAGTCATAAGAACTGGTAAGTGCTACCTTGCAAAGATCTTTCTTTTATTTTTGCCATGAACTAAGTAAATCTTGATGGATTTGAGGTTTAGTAAGTAAGGTTATTAGGCTAAATTTTTTTTAGTGTTAAGGTACATTCTGACTGTCCCTGCCACTAAATGTAAATCAGCCTTAGAATCCGGGCAGAGGGCCCATACTTTATAATGTTTGCCACATAAAACAGCCCCAACAGGCCAAGGTCACTCGGTCTTTACAACCTGCGGTGATCAGAGAGAGCAGATCTACCTAAATGGTACTGAAAGTCTCATCACGTAAGTATACACTTTGGGTAGGCTAGTGGGATTCGAACCTACTCCCTCTCACCCTTCAATCCTGGGGTTTTCTTTAAGTTGAGATATAACTGACACACGTTTTATTGGTCTGAGTTGTACAACATAATGACTCAATAATTGTATACACTGCAAAGTGATCACCACAGTAATTCTATCTAACGTCCATCACCACACAGAGCTGTAAATATTTCCTTCTCGTGATGAGAATACGCTTCAGTCTTTGCCCATCAGCACTACCTTGAAAGCCCGAGCTTCGGAGTTCCTGTTGGCAACGGTCTGGGCCAACAAGCTCTGCCATCCCATCGGATCTTCCTTGTAGGAGAGCTGACCCGCTCTGAGCTTGACATATAAAACCCCATCCTTGGACAGAATTGACCTGCAAGAAGACAAAAATGAATTTAATGTGAGTTATTACTGCAGTTCTTGGCTAGAAATACAGTGGTTCCCAGTATCATGTTCACAGGAGACGAAGTCTTCACCGTTTTCCACCAAGGTGCACTGTTACCCACTGTGTCTAGAACTAAATCAGTCCCTGAAAGAAAGTCATAATAAAGTTCTGCTTTTCTCTGTGTCTACATTCATGGAACCTGTTAAACAAGAAGGCATTCTACCTGCTCAATGTGAACTTTAAAGGCAGTATTTTATCTAACACTTCTTTATACCCCCTGTAAGTATCTATTGATTGGTCTACAGAAAAAAAAATGATGTTACAAATCTAAAGACAGAACTTTCTGGAAATTTAAAGACTTAATTTACACACCTGCAGTGTAAAATTATTAACATTCTCTCTCTTACTTCATCGAAGAAATTACTTGGATATGACTATTTCAACCCAAAAACAATCTACAAGAACCTTAATTTTATAAGAACAACCTAACAAGAGAATGGTAAAGAGATGCTACAGAAGATGGGATCTGACAAACACCAATTGTTACAAAGTTCCCTTTGTGGACACATAAATCAGCCTCGTTTTCTTAAACTAAATCTTTCATTATTGCTCCAAAAGACAATTCCATTACCGTCTCAATTTAAGTCACTTCAAGTTTCTCAGTGAATTAATATAAATATTTAGGATTTGATTTCTAAATTTAAAATTTTATTTTCTAATACAAACTGTTTCAAAGATACAGACCACTTTATTCAGTACACACCCTACGTACTGTCCTGGGTGAGATTAAAGGGTGACAAGGAGCATTTTAGATTATAATCTGTAATTTATACCTTCCCAGATATTTCTATTCCCTTCACAGACACATGTGAGAACTTCCACACACTTACTTCAAGTGCTGTGTCCCCTTGCTTAAATCTATGAGCAGTTCCCAGTATCGTGGGCCTTTAACTTTAATCTGTCAAGATAAATGTGAACAGTCAGTCCAATGCTGGGAAAGTGCTAGTTCAATAAAATGAAACTCAAGCTTCTCAGAGGAAATAAAAATTAAAAAAAAGAAACAGAGACATAACAAGCTCCACTTCCAGAAGGAACTGAATGGGACTCCTGCTCTCAGGCCACCTAACCATCAGTAGAGCGCTCTGAGTAAAGACCTCCATTCCTCGTGACTGTTCCCTCTGCTGCTGCTTTCCTACTTCTCATAAAACACAGGGAAAGCACAGGCTTTTATTTAGCCATCTTTACTGCTACGCTGATTCCGTTTGAATTTAACTCTTGGATACATTTTCCTAAATCACATCCCACTTACCTGTTTTAAAAGGTGGAGTTCTGGAAGAAGGGTAGGAGCCATCAACTCTTCTTTGGTCTGTTCATACCACTGAGTGCCCTTTACAAATGCAAAAGAACCGTCACAGCTCACTACATAGTCAGGGGAGACTATGAAAAGAGACATCGCTCTACCCTTCCCCTCCCCTGCGGTTTGCAGACAGCTTGTCAAATGGCATAAACTCCTCTCCGGTACTCAGGTCTGGAAGGGCTAACGTCTACACTCCTTTGCAGAGCCGGCAACCTTCCACCGCTCTCAGCCTTGCCCTTCACCTGCGGGGAGGGCTGCGGACCTGCACCTGCGAGGCCGCTGCCTTTCCGCACGTGTTGTCATCTCTGCTGGGAAGGTGCCTGGCTCAGCCAGCAAATCTCAGCCCAGACACCGTGTCTACTATGACGGCCTCCCAAATCCCAGAAGTGCTGGAGGGGAACACTTCTCCTCTGCTCCTCCTGCATTCGACACACACCTCCCATCATCACACTCTATCCTCACTGTCTGTATCCATGCCTGACTCCCCAGTGGACAGAAGTTCCTTAAGGAAAGGCAACGTCATCTCAACTTCGTACCCCAGAGCCCTGCACAGTTTCAATACACAGAAGGCATTTAACAATTTTCTGAAGGAAAGAGACATGATTTATAATCTATCTGTGCATCTAAATCAATGATCTCTCATCAAATACAAAACCTTGCACTTTAAAGCACTCTGCTAACAAATCCGAGTCATCCGAACTCAGTTCATTTTTTGGAACACTACTATCAGCTATGCCAAGTTAACAGGGTCATTTTCAAACTACAAGCTCTAAAGACAAGAGAGCAGCTGATGAGCTCTGAGGTCTTACACCCACAGACCACGAATGAGCCTGAACGGCCTGGCAGGATGTACAAGAACTGTGAAAGCTTCAATTTTTATGAGAGTTCAACTCACTGTTGTCATCCTTTAAAGGACACTTTCAAAACATTTTGACTTGCAGAGATGGATGAGCGGCAATGAAATTACAAATAAACAACAGGGGAGAGAGTTACCTTATAGGTGACTTCTAAGAGGGCATAGCAGGGCGTGTTGGTGTCCACATCCACGGGCACCAGAAGTCTTGGTTCTGCAGCCAGCACGTACAGGTGCCGGAGAGCCTGGAGATGATACCTGCTCACAGAGAACACAGAGGTGGTAACACAGGGGGCGACGGCATGAGCCCTACAGTCTGCATGAGCTGAGCCAAGACACAGCATCCAGCGACAGCAATCCTAAAGGAAGATGAGATTTAATTAAAAAGTAATGGAGAAATCCACTTTAAAGACTTATAGACACATGATCCTTGACACAAGAATTTGTTACTTGAGTTTCCACAGTCAAGAGGTTTTACAGGGAAGTAAAAATAATCCAAACATGAAAATACTTAATAAACTGATCACTTATAAAGTCAACACAGGCGTCCCTTTTTGCCTTCTGAGGCTTACTTCCACTTCTTTCTCTTCTTTTCTTAAGGGTTGGCAGGGAAGAAGAGGGGGAAAGAAAGGGTGACAGTTTTCCTCAGATAGCAAAGCTCTTCTACATATAAACCCCTGTACACAGATACATACACACACCCAGAACACACGTACCAAAACTTAATGGGTAAGATATGACAATATTTTTCTTGCTGCATGTGTCCTTTTCTGAGTTTTCAAAAAATTTTCTAAGATTTAAAATTTATATTTTGTAATTTAAACATATAAAAAGTTTTTACATTTTAAGACCCCATAAAGGAAGGATAAAATGAGACTTCAAATACATTTTTCTTTAATTTCAGCTGTATCAGTACCCTCCCCTCTTCCCATCCAAATCTACCCGCCCCTATAAATCTATTAGAAATCGAATCAATCAAGGCCAGAGAAAACAGATACGTATCAGTTAAATAAAGGTTCTAAATGTTTATCACCAATCACTTTGTCTATAATAAATGAACCATCTGAAATTCTGTCCAGCAGCACGTGAGGGTGGGTCTCTGCTGTGCCCTAGCCGATTGCTGACCTCAACTGGAGACATCTTCCCTAAACGGACAAGTGAGAGACCACTCGTCAGTTATATTAACAGCCGTATTCTTAGGCACCATCTATCATTAAAGTTTGGACTTTAGATCAGGCTACTCCTGTACAACAGCTATCTATCTCTTACTCCCAGTGACGCATTACACGTAAGTTTTAAATGACGGCTTAGTCACCACAATGGACACTCCCTCTCCTGATCCTTCTCTGGCAGACTGCTGGGGGAGCCTTTGGTTGAGCTCACAGGTCATCTCAGATGCCACTGGGATACAGGAGCTAGCTTCTCCCCTTCTTCCACAAACAGCAGAGAATGGCTACACCTGAAACTCCGAGGGAAACTGAAGTGTGGGTGGTTCTCTGCGCTCTAAAAGGCAGAGCTTCTGTATTATCAGGCTGCTTCCACACATCTGAGGCTCTCCTGCTCACTGCCCCTTCTACATTGTCTGGCTCTTTGCCACATTTTGCTTGTCTTGTCCCTCCTCTGTCATTTATACAAAATTTCTCAGAATTAAAGAGGGAAAAAAGAAGGAAAAAATTGAATTCATACAGATATTGCCCCTAAATCAGACAAATCCTCTCTTGGAATCGAACAGTTCTGCCAAAACGTATTCAGCTCCTCTTGGCTACTACATTTTGCACGATGACTTTTTCCCTAAATGTAACCCTGTTCGGGGTTAGGGCAGTTCCCTGATTGGAGCACGGCAGAAGACAGAGCGGTCATCAGATGTCCAAAGGGCTCTTCAGGCTTAATATTCTGTGAGAGAAACTTTTTAAAAGATTTACCCAGGAAGATAACTAAGTTTAAGAACAGAATAAAGCCAATCTAGAAATGAGTCCATGCAACCAAAACACAATCAGATCATCCCCTTAGAGAACCTGAGAAAGATCACGTGAGGGAAATCACTAGACTCACCGGTTGTCAGTGCTGTGAGCTGGGAAGTGCGGGTACAGGGCACAGAGCAGGGCGGCAATGGAAGAGTTTGACGTGCTCAACGAGTACCTGCAGAACACAGCCGGGAGGGACACATGCTGTTAGTCCCACCAGGCAAACCTCCACGGCATTCTCGAGAATCAGGAGACTGGGGTGCTGCGGCAAGGCATTCTGACGGAACTACAGCCTTTATAAATACAAGTACGTCAATGCTCTGAACATTTTACTTTACAGTTAGTCCTTAAGCCACTTCAACATCATCTACTATTTAATGGAGAAGCAACTTCCCACAAATGTTAAATTTCAAAACCTGAATTAGTAAGCCAAGTTTCAAACTTCAGAGCACAGTATTGAGAACCATGAAGGCAATCCCAGACAACTTACTTCTAAAAGTACAGGGTTTTTCACTCGGTATCTCAAATATTTTTTTCCTTTTCTATAAAGCATAAGCATTTCCTTGGAATGATAGACTAAATAAAACAGGCAAAAGCTATCATTAAAAAGTTACGATGAATGTATAAAAAACTATTCCTTGAAAAAGAAAGTTTTTTTCCTTATCAATATGATAAACTCGTTTAAAATGGCCACATAATTCTTAGTAAAATAAACTCTTTTGAAATTTTCCTTAAGTTATTTCACTGTTGCTCAAATTCAGCATGGCAAACAGGCAGATTAGTCTGAACTTTTAGTTTTTCTTTTAGATATTCTGAAAGCAAGATGGCTCAGGACATCACATAAAACCACTGTTGTTGCTAGTCAATATACATATATCTCTTGTTACACGTATACACATACACAGATCCCCAAATCTTTTTCCCCTGTCTTTTTAAACAATCGGGGTGTTAAGAAAGAACGAGCATCTATCATCACACATATATTTAATGAAGAAGAGATTTCAAAATTTAAATATGGAAATATATCTATTTTGACAAATGCATAGACTAAGCCTTTTCTCTTTACCACTTTGATAAAACCAAAATCTAAACATTAGATATTAATGTTAGAAATTTTGAAATTAAGCATAAGGGTGTAACTACGCTATGAGAAATGTAAATGTCACAGAGCACATGTAACTATTCAAAGATAAGAAACCGATAGGAAAGCAGCAGCAGAATGGGAGAAAATGTGCTGAGCATGAAAGAAGAGCAAGCAGGGTCATGCGGTGCGTGATGAGACGAGAGAAGAGATGGAACAGGAGAACACAATAAATGCAGGGCTTATTTTGAAAGGACAATAAGTTTTTAAAAATCTTAAAATAAGAATTTTCACAGTAATATTTCCTTAACCATTTTTAACTCTAAACAATAAAGGAGGAAGGAGGGTGTAGCTCAGGGGTAGAGTGCGTGCTTAGCATGCATAAGGTCCTGGGTTCAATCCCCAGTACCCCCATCAAAATAAATAAACAAACAAACAAATAAATAAAATAAACCTAATTACCTCCCCCCAAAACACAAATAAACAATAAAGGAAGAAAGTTCTACAAAATCTGTCAAAAAAGAAGGCGCACCTTTCTAATAATCTTTACTTCTGTACTTCTAGAAGGGTGTGTTCCAGTGTTTAATACATTCTTAAAGAAGAGTATAAAATAAACGTACTGACTTGTAGAAATTGTGTCAGTTGGCCAAGGTCACATAAACTACAGCTAAATAAATGAAGGAATACACGATACTGACAGGTGAAGAGACTCGATTTTGTAACAGATTTCAATTCCTCCAGACTGATGGATAGACTCAATGCAATTCTGATCAACATTTTATCAGGTTGTCTAGTGTGGAAAAACTGCAAATGAATTTCACTATTTATATAAAAGGCAAAGAGCCAAGAACAGAAAAATACACTTTTGAAGAAGAAATCCCAGTTTGGAGGATTTCCTCTACCGGATATCAAGACTTACCATAAAACCACACTAATAAAGACAAGTGGGGTGCTGTGAAAGTATAGAACAATAGACAACTGAACATGACAATCCAGAAATAAAAACATACATAAAGATATTTAATTTATAACAAAGGTAGTACTGCAGAACAGTGGAGAAAGGATAAACTGGTAACAGTAGGGCATCAACTGGGGAAAAAAAACATACAGAAAACTCAGTCCCAGGTAGACTTTAAATCTAAATGTGAATGGAAAAGCTAAAAAATCTTCTATAAAATAAATAAGAGAATATTTTCATTTTTTGTGGTTAAGGAAATATTTCATAAGGACAAAAAAGCACAAACCATAAAAGAAAAATATTAATAATTCTGTCATCAAAAGATAACATTAAGAGAGTTAAACAGCAAGCCACAGAATCTAAGGAAAACTCACAGAATTTGGTGACTGACAGAGTTCATGACCGTTATGAGAAAGCAATTTAGTAGAAGAGTAAAATCATTAAACAGTGAGGAACAAGAGGTGATGCTATGAAGTACTGAGTACAGACTCTTCTGAGAAACGCAGTGATGCCAACCAAGTGTATCAGAGAGAGGATGGTAACTCTGCTAAGTGGGGCAGGAACTGATGGGTAAACTATTTTTAAAAAGCCTTTTTAAGTGTAATAATGCCCCTAGAAAAGCTAACAGCTAGTCAGAATCGAAAATTTTCATGCTTCTAAATCAAAATAAGTCACTCACAGAGATCGTGCTCACGAGATCTTTTCATTGAGGAAAAACATATTCATTTACCTTCCTCCTCCCAAAAACAGAAGTCCAAGGGCCATGTGATGGGCTAGGTGGAAACCGTAGTTCATTTCACCACCGGTCTTCATGTGCAAGAAGCGACAGAGCTGCAAAACCTTTAGGTTCCCTGAGCCGGCCATCACCATGGCCAGAGACAGCAGCACCACACTCAGGCAAGTCTCCAGGTTGTAAGGACCTGTCTGGAAACGCAAGCGATGACACACGATAACCCTGGTGCTACATTTCCTTTATTATCGAAAACTAAACCAGCCATCATTAGACTATAAATGTTTACAGCTTTAAAAAATCTGAAAAAAACAAACAGTCCATGAAGATTACAGCTTTTCTTATTTGTTCTCTTGTCACAAGAATTAGATAACTGTGCATCCTTCATTTGGTGAATCAGGTAATCATATTCTCACCTGATTAACACCCCAGGACAAAAATATAAAGATGAGCCAAAGGTTCAAATTTCCCATCCTAAACTCAAACAAACTGCACAGATATTTGGCAACACATAAGTAACTGAATTATCAGTGAATTTTCTTCCAGCTTAATTTTATTCCCCAGGAGAATCATCATAAAAAGACTTACCACAGAAGCATTAGGCGCAGACAAATAAGTCATAAAATCTTTTGCAAATTTATGCTGGAAAAACAAAAGAAAAACTTTTAGGTTAAAAGAAGAATACTAAGGCTCTGTAAAAAAAGGAAACAGAATAAACGAATCTCCTTCCTACCAAGCAGTTAAATGCTGATAAGTTTTCTGAGCCAGCAAATCGAAAACCCAGAGACAAACAAGCTCCTGCAATTATGTAGACATGTGCTTGCCTGAAAACAGAACACAAGAAATTTCAATATTGTCCTTGTTTTGCTTTAAAATTCACTATTACTATTATTTGGGGGTAAAAATAATAAATACTCCTATTCTCTAAATTAGTTTATATTCTTCTGGGAATGCTCAGTTGTGCCTCTACCCAATCAACAGATTTCTGCAGTGTTTTCTTCAGCAGAAGCACCATGTGGCTCCTACTGATCAAGTCTGTCTCTTGCCTGTACTGTTTCAAATGCAGCAAAAGAAAATAATTTTTAAAAATCACTGCCAATTTTTTTTAATGGAAAGGATAAAAGAGGAATATGGACAAGTTAAATCTCCGATATTGTTTTTTGAGGATAAGAACTCTGTATTTTAGGGAGCTAAACAAAAACCAAACTTGTGAATATTTGATAAACAATGGTTAGACACACAGAGGATTCAGAATTACTCAAATCAAGGACAGCATCTCTCCTACACGGTATATTTCGATTTATTTACCCGACAGATGCTTAGCTAATTTGTATTACACATTTCATGACTTACGACAAAGTTTCCAAATTCAAATCCTCTGAGCAAGGCAATTCAATTTCACTGAGAGAGATACTATTTTCTCTTATAATCTGTGAAAACAGAAAGCAAGAATACCTGGACATTAATAATCAAGCTACAAGTATTTAATAATTTGAAGAATAACATACTGCTTAGCTTGGCCATATTTACATTTAAAAAAAGCTTTACCAAACCATTTCATTCAAAGGCCTGTATTTTCATCACATTGAATGTAATCATATTTCAAGTCTAAGATGGGCCAAATAACTGAATAGGACTGAATGAATATAAACTGGAGGACTTAAGTATATTATGAATCAATAACAGAGTAATAATATTTCACTCTCATGAACTGAAAAGCAAAAATGATGGCCACAGAGTAGAGATGGGGCAGAGTAGAGGGGAAGCAGTAAGAAAAGTGGGGAAAAAAGCAACTGGAGAAGACTCTAATCAGAGACACTGACTTCTTCCTCACGAACGTTTCTAGTATGAACCTCCCTGTCTACCAGAGGTGAGGTACGTTACCGGACTGCCTAGCCAAGCCAAACTGTCAATATGTTAATCTGTAAGAATTGTTTAGAAAACACATCCCTTTAGTACACATAGTGAATGAGAATGTATTTTAAAAAGATACACAGAATATCTAGCTTTAACAACCAAGAACTGATTTGATTCTCTTTACTTAAAAATACAAATAAAAAAGATAACGCTATTTATTTTCTAAAAATGTGCAAGTACGCAGAAGTAACACTCTGAAGACTTATTCCTATAAGTCTTTTTAGAAGACTGTTCAGGGGAGTCACATTTCAGGATGCTTTCTATAATAAACCAGTAAGTATTCAGAATACCAAATTCAAATACCAAATCAAAAACTTGAAAATACCTTTTCTCTCTGATAATCTCAATGAGGTAAGCAATTATGTTGGCTGTGTAACACAGACTGATAACTACTTCCATCTCTCTTCCTTCCTCTTGTCTTTATTTTTAATTTTGAATGTTATTTATTCAGAAATTGAATGACATTCTGAAAAAACTGATATAACTCCAAACTGAGTAATTAATATGTACATGGATAACCTGATTATAACATTCATACACATTAGCAGTAACATCAGTCAGGATGGAATACTTCTATTCTGACAGTTGGCATTTATAAGCTCCTTTTTGTCTTCAAAAGGGCACGTACCCTTGGAGCTTTAAGGCCTGGGTTCTAATCCCAGCAGGGCCACTCACTAGCCCTGTGACTGTAGGCAAGTCGTGCCTCATGTGTAAAATGAGCATAATAAAGTTCCCACCCTCTAGGTTCCTGTGAGAATTAGAGGACTTAACCTACTCAAAGCTCTTAACATTAACTCTTGGTACATAGTGGGTTCTTTATAAGTGTTAGCTGCTATCACCATCATCATCACCATCACTGATCTGTACCACTCTATCACAAGACCACACTTGGTCATCAATCACTTAACACGCTGATCGCCCACTGTGGATCGGGTGCCCCTGAGGAAACACAACTGTCACCCAAATTTGAGTGACACAGCAATCAACGTGTTAAAAGCATCACTAAAAACGTGGGTTATAAATAACTGTGGGGGGGGAAAACACTCTTCAATCTAGTCCTTATTATATTTTCTACAGTCTCCTAAAGTTAAAAAAAAAAAAGAGAGAGAGAAATATAAGGAGGAATCAAAGGGAAACATGTAATCACTTAAGGGCAGACTGAGGCACACAGGAAATGAATAAAAAGACCCCAATCTGCTCTGTCTTGTACAGAGTCTAACACAAGAAGCTCAAGCTCCGAAGTCCTAACAGCTAGTTTCAGTTTTGTCCCACCTCCTCCTAGCTGGGTGGTTTTGGGCCAGTCTTCCATGTAACAGCGAGGTACTGCGCTCTGGCTACTGTGCACTGGTTACCAGGAACAAAAAGGTGGAAAAGACACGGCAGCCACCCCTGAGGAGTTCATGGTCTACACAGACGTACAAAAAAACAAAAGTAGCACACTGTTCCCACCCATACACGGGGGGCAGTACTTGAACAATTTACAGCGCAACACCCCAAAAAGAAGAGAGACTAGGTTGTACAGTAAAGCTTTTTATGAAGGAAAAAGTGCTATGAAGATGCTAGTTACTGTACTGGATACATGCCTTAAGTTTGAACAAATAAGCAGTTTACAAAGTGACCCTTTTAATCCCACTTTTGATGCCAAGTTGCTCCCTACAAGGGGCCCTGCTACAGAATCAATGAAATAAGTGGGTGAGAACTAGGAGAAAATGAGAGCAACAGGCAATATCAACAAACAGAACTGTGAACTTGCTGTATGTCCTACTGGGCATCCCTGATGTAAGACCAAATTTAAAATTAAGTCTGAAGTAGAAGAAATGTCCGAGAGATAACTTTATATTAAAAGTCCAAGGATCACGTTTCTACAAAAGTTTAAAAAAAGAACTGACATAAATTTAAGAATATAGTTACTTGTGTACATGTTTAATTTCACTTTGTAAACTAAACTTAGTAAATTTAGTAAACTGAAGTTTTCTTGAAGGCAATCTGTAAGTCAGGTGCATCTTAAATGTAACAGAATTTAGAATGGCATCTTGCATTTGCAAATGATCAAAAACATATGCTGAATGAAGGAATGGAAGAAAAAGTATAATTTCTTCCTACAATATACATTCTAAAGGGCACTTTCCAAAAGGAACTGGTATCTTTGACATCTAAATGTGCTAGGAATTGAATGTCTGCCTGACCCATGAACCATGTGTGACCAGGGCGGACTCTGAGGAAAGGCCACAGGATTAAAGAATTGAACTAAGATTAGAACTGGCAAGCAAGAGATAAGGTTGGACACAAAATGTATTTATGTGTGTGTGTGTGTGTGTGTGTATTTGTGAGGACACACACACACACACAGATACATGTGTATGTATGTACGTGTGTAACAACACTGGAGAGGAATACAACAGAAACCAGAGTCTTCAAAAGACAACCTGCACAATGTCCCAGATACAAATCAAAATGACCTAACATAAGAACAAGAAATGCAACCTATTCTCAGAAGAAAAGACAAAGTAAAACCATGCTGAAATGACCACACTGTTGGCGTTAAGAGGATTTTAAAGCAGCTCTTCTAACTAGAAGGACAACATGCTCATAATGACTGAAAACACAGAAAATCCTTTCAGAAAAAGCAAAAATTGTAACAAAAGGTAATATGCAAATTTTACAACTAAAAAGTACAATAAATAGAATGTTTAAATTCACTTCATGGACTAAAAGGAAAACAAAATGCCTGAAGAAAGTGAGTACACATAAAGATAAATCATTAGAAATGCAGCAATCTGTAGAAAAGACAGAAGAAGAATAAAAGACAACAGTCATCTGATTTTTGACAAAGGAGTCACAGGAATACAAGGAAAGGAGGGTGTTTTCAACAAACAGTGTTGGCATAACTAAATATATATATTTTTAAAAATGAAAACCTCAGCCCTTACCTCATATCATAAACAAAATTACTTTGAGATGATTTACATAATTATACATAAAAGCTAAAACATCAGGGTTTTAGAAAAAATAATCTTCAGGTTAGGAAAAAAATTTTTTTTCATAGGTCACAAAAAACAACCATATAATTAAAAACTGATAAATCAGACACTATCAAATTTAAAAATTTTTCTGCTCATCAAAAATATTCTAAGAAAATGAACAGACATGCCACAGATTAGCGGGATATTTGCAAAACATTTATCTGACAAAGGATATGTTTCCAGAACATATAAAAAATTCTAGCAACTCAATAATAAAAAGACAAACACAAAAACTTTTTAAATGGGCAAAAGATATAAACAGATTATTTCATTTAAAAAGATACATGAAGAAACAATAAGTAAATGAAAATGAACATGCAAACTGAAACTACAATAAGATATCATTACATATGGACCAGCAGAGCTAAAATTAAAAAGACTAACATCACCAAACACTGCCGAGACATGCAGCTGCCAGTGTTCTCATACACTGCTGGTCCAAGTGCAAAACAGTGCAACGTCTTTGGAAAAAGGTTTACCAGTCCTTATAAAACTAAACACACCATGTACTCTATGTCACGGTAAGTCCAATCCTAAGTATTTACTCAAAAGAAATTAAAACATAAGCCCACAAAAACGTTTCTATAAGAATATTTATGGTAGATCGCTTGACAATAACCAAAACCTGGAACCAGCCTAGGCATTCAACAAAAGAGAATGAGAGAGGAAACCATGGTACGTTCACACAATGGGATACTACTGAACAATGAAAAGGCTAACTATTGACACTACTCAATAGTATCTCAAAATCACACTGAGTTAAAAAAAGTCACAAACAAAAGGGTATATACTGTATGTGATTCCATTAAAGTTCTACATCAGACGAACTAATATACTCAGGAAAAAATCAAAAAATTGGTTGCCTTGGGGGTGGGGAGGGAGTGCAGACTAAGTAGGAGGGGGCAGGAAGGAACTTCTGGCCATTCTGATAAAGGTCTGTTTCCATGAGCGTATGCATTAGTCAAATCTTATCAAATTACACACTTAAGATTTGTGCATTTCATTATATATACATTTTATCGTAAAAGGAAAAGAAAACAGGGTAAATACTGAATTAATGTTAATGATACACATGCTGAAATACTAAGGGAAAAAGTGTACTACTGTCTGTAACTGACTTTGAAACACATCAAAAAACGATAGATTGGATAGAGGAACAGATAAATGGACAGGTATGTGATAAAACAAGTTTATATAGTAAAATACTAGTTGTAGAATCTGGTTGTATGCATGTTTGTATAAAGTTCTCTCAACCTTTCTTTATTTTGAAATTTTCTTATTAAAACATTAAAGGAAACACTCTAGCATTCTCAAAGATAGATCTGTTTTCCCAAAAAAAGATACTGAAGACATGGACAGTTAGTTAATTAAAGGGCAATATTTAGTTACAATATTTGACTTGGAGATTTTACTAAACAGTCTACTTACTTTTAACTATTTGGCTTATTGGGTACATATGCCATAAAGTAATTAAAACAACTTACTATACACAAGATAAAAAAACTGCCACAAAGTAAAACAGTATCTTAGATAAATGTGTACTTAATCAGGATAAAAATATCAAAAACGCTTTTTAGAGTTCTGCGATACATTTAATTTTTTTAAAAAATCACAATTTCTAGGTCTCTGTAACCAAAAAAGAAAGGCTATGGTCTGTGCTCAGCACACAATCTTAAAATGAAAGTTACTATGTATTCAAGAAATGTCATAATCATCAATATTGCCTTCAAAAGTATTTTATAGGGTTTTGGAAATCCCACATAATTTTATGTGATTTAAGATACAATATTTATTATACTCACGTACTTGAGGAACGTTGCTATCGACCCACTTGGAATTTGGTAAAATATCATCCCACAAAATCAGGCATCGAGCAAGTGTCTTAAAAATGCAATACAGAAAAATCAATTACAGCAGGCAAAGTTCATAGATTCTGCAACAATGATAACATTATAAATAGGACAACTTAAGAATCGGTTCCCAACTGATGGAAATTTTGAAAAATTAAATATATACAGTATCAACTTAAGCTACTCATTAAAATAAACTGAAGACTTAGATTTTATCACAAAAAAACTGAACTGATCATCATCAAAGTTTGGAGGAGTTGTAGAGAAGTTTTTAAAACTTCCTCCATAAAGAAAAATCATGAACATAAGAATTATTCATAGTTCTGTCTACACAGAGCCACCCATATGCTAAAAACATATATTTAAACATTAAAGAAGAGGGAAAATTGGAGGCAATTATGTCAAACAATTTCTATCACTAATTATACCCTTAATAGTATTACTGCATCCTTAATAATAATGAAAGAATGTAAAACAAAGTGGTAATGAAGTCCCTTGTTGCTATTAGGAAGTTCTGAATAATAATATGAGAAATTGAAATGTCACTCCAAGTCTTATATACCAATGTAGCTGCCTTTCTTGGCAATTCCTACAGTCATATTTGGGAAATTTCAAAAGAATACTATCAATTACATATATGCATGATGGCTTAACATTACAGATTCCCTTGTAGAGACATTTATATTTGCAAGCTAAACTTGAGAACCACAAATAGACTACGTATCTTAAAAGAAATGAAAAACTGCAAAGTATCATACCCTAAGCAAGAGAAATTCTGGCTTCACAAAGTCCAGCAAATACATAGTGTCAGGAGCTCGGAGCCAATCTGCAATGGATCTGTTGGTGGAGGATATCAGTAAGCATTACTGCTCGAGAAGAGGACTAAATAATCAAGAATTCCAGGGAGGGTGTAGCTCGGTGGTAGAGTGTGTGCTTAGCATGCACAGGTCCTAGGGACTGAACCCAGGACCTTCATTAAAAATAAATAAACCCAATTACCTCTGCTCCAAAAAATAAACAAACAAACAAACAAAAATTCCAAGAGAGATTTCAAGAATTTCCTCTCCATTGCAACCACTGCTATTTTTTTCCATAGTACTTTTCACCCTCCAAACATAATTTTTATTATGTATGTATGTATATCTTACTATAAGCTTTGTAAGGGCAGATATTTTTAGTTTTGTTTTGGTCACTGAAATATCTCCAATGCCAAGCAAGCAATGACATACACATTGATCCCAACAGTAAATGAATAAATCTGTTTTTAATCAAACTTTTGTTAATTTTGCAAATACTCGGTTTTTCTAAAAAAGGAATTTATTTACAACACTGAAAAATTTCTTGAATCTTATAATGCTCTTTAAATTAAAAGACTTAAAACATGGTTTAATGTCTCCTACCCAACTTACTCTTCTATGCAAAATGTAAAAAACAAATGCCAAACGTCTACTTTCAAGGGTCAGCACTAATTACTCCATGTTGCAGAGGCAGAAGGTAGGGTCATTAGGAAAGCTGTTGAACTAGGCAGAAACCACTTTTGTGAATGGTAACCTGAAATATAGTAACGCTAAGTATTTCTGATTCAACCAGACCTCACAATAACATGTAAAATTAATGAAAAGGAATGTGGATATCACTGGATTGTCAGTGACTCAACTGAAAAACAAAAATGAATAGAAATGGGCAACTATACTGACAGATACCATTACAATAACAAAATTTACTATTTCTAGATAAAAATCTATATAACTTGAAGTATTTGAGAGCACTAAGATCAGGCTGATCTAGCACAGGGGAGTAAGAAAGATAATTTAGTTTTACTACTGAGGTCAGAAACAGAGTCACACTGTCATGACAAGGGACGGGCAGGGGAGATGCAGTACCTGTTATTGGTTTTCAAGTAGATCATAGCCAAAGCCAGAGTGGCACCTGGACAAGTTACATCCACATTTATGGTGTCTCCTTCCTATCGAAAGAAAAGTTTATTTGTGTAAAGGAGTTTTGAATTATTATAAAATTCTTCTGAATACTAGCCTACACTTAGTTAACAAATTTTACAAAGGTTGGTATGAAAACTACTATTTTCAAGTTGACCTCTTAGCTTCCAGCATTTCGATCTGTTGCTTCATTTGGACTTACTTTGATTTGATAACTTGGAGATTTATGTTTCTCCCGGTGCATCCCTGCTTGAAAGCGCCTGTGGCCTCCAACCATGTACTGATAAAGCTGCTCAGGCACGTTGAGATCAGACATCCCTATCAGATTACTGCCGTGCTGGAAAACGGAGGAACAGACACGTGAAAGGAAATCTTAACGGAAGAAGATCTGTAACACACACTCATGGCCAAGAAAAGAATAAACTAACTTCACAGCTGCGTGTTTCGGGCTATCAATTAAAATAAGTATTTCTCGTGAGCTAATACTCAGTATACTAATAATTCACATTACAATTACAATTCATCTACATACAAGTTAATACTTTCATTTCATAAATACTGCTAACTGCACTAACAGTTAAAGAACATACTAGGTGGTACGCAATGGCGCCTGAACCATGAACATCTGAACCCTTTCATTTCTGTGCCTATGAGCTATAATTATATTAGTAAAAATAACTTCCTGAACACTTAACTCTCTTCCAGGCACAATTTGGTGTGTTTAACATGAGTTAACTTACTTAATATGGCAATTCTATCACACAGCTACTATTTTATAGATGAGGAAAGTGAGGCACAAAGAGATTACATCCAAGGTCACACAGCTAGTGAGGATATAAACAAGGCAGTCTGGCTCTACGATCTACCAAATTGCTTAATCACCAGACAGTGCCGCGTTTAGTGACGTGACTCACTGGTCAGGACCAGAACTCAGGTCCTAATTCCCAGCATGATGTTTTCCCTTGTATCATCTGCCTCTTTAGTTCACGCATCAAGTGTGACGAGTCAAAAACCTAATAGACCTTTCTTTACACAATTCAGTTTCTGGTGGTTCTTCAAAGAACCTACGTTCTGGGTGATGGTGTCATTTAATGCAATTTAATGCAATTTCTGGTCACTCTATACTATGTCTCTTGGATAGGGTCACAAACCAGCTGCTATCATGGCAACATTCTGGGACACCTAGTGAGCACCAGGGCACCAAAAGAGGGTTATGGTTTATATTTAGTAACTATTACTGATTCTTAAGGCTCCCCTTCATACACACATTTCCACTGTTTCCTGTTTTCTAACTGAGTGGGCTGTCGCTTCTTCATCTTATGTCTTGAACTCTTTTCAAGAAACTTCATTCCCTTGGTTCATTCATGAACACTTACATCTAAGTCAGGGGGAAGAAACCTTAAAAGTCCCACTCTTCACTACACTTTCTCTCCATTCCCCAATCTGGCACTTTGAAAAATATCCAGAACGAAGAAAGAGCTGAGAATCAGGGTTAAGTCAAGTCACAGTAAAGCAGAGTGGTATTCAGAGCAAAGTGTCAAGGTTATTTGTCTCAACAAGCAGAGGTCGGTTGTAACTGAAGCATCTGAAGGCACAGACTCTGCTTACCCCCAAGCAAACCATGCCCAAGGCCAAGCCAGCAGCTAAAGAGTAAGACTCTCTGTCAGTGCAGTATTCCATCTCAGGACCAGGGGGCCTGCCTGGAAAACAGAAAGCAACACAGTTCAAGCTGGCCTCTTAAAATCCAGACTTGTAAACTTTTTAGAGTCCCTCTCTAGCAAGTTGCCTAAGAACTACGGATTCAACATAAACCATGAGAAAGATCTAACATTATCACAAATGGTGTCCACAACTATCAGTTTACTACAAAATAAAGCCCCAAACTGGTTCTTTCAATTTGCCAATTTGAATGCAATGACTTTAAAATATTGTGAAATCTTGTTTTTATTTTTAAAATAGGAAAAATTTTTTTAAGGAGAGAGGTGCATATAAAAAGCTTCAATTTGTAACTTCTTTCCTTTTGTTGATGTTCTGTTATTTTCAAATTCATTCACTAGATGTGGTGAAAACATGTTCAAATACTGATAACAGGCAAGAGAGATACTTAAATTTTTAAGCATTAAATATTATGTATCCAGACACTTACTCTGAATCTATATAATACTCAGTCCTACTGTGATAGAATTTCTTTATATTCATGCTAAAAGCTTGACTGGATGCAAATTCATACTTCTAAAAAGCATACCCTAACTCTAACTCCATCCCTTTTGCATAGCAAAGTGTATTATATACAAAGACTCCTTCCTCCAAAAAAAAAGTTCACATTCCTGGGATTTCATCTCCAGGAAAAAAAAAAATTTTAAAGAAAGAAAAAAATTAAACACAAGTATTCACTGCAGGGTTTACTGCCTAAGAGCAAAGAATTGAAAACAACCTAAAAGTCCTATAAAAGTGAGAAAATGGTTAGGCAATTTTCAAAACACCGACTCAATGATTACACAATGTAAAATTTTAAATGCCACTTATGACAGTGACATGTGAAAAGGGCAGTACAAAAACAGTCTGTACATTCTGACGGTCATTATACAAAAGAGCACGTGCATATGAATCCAGATGAAACCCTCTACATACAATGTGAAAGAGGTGTGTCATGGCTGGGAGATCTGTGTAATGCTGGCATCACCAGATATCATTGTGATACAGCCGAAGAATGCTAAATCACCTTGCAGGTGAACAAGCTTTAAAAGCCAGTCCTGAGTATCTCCTGAATAAGTATTTCTCAGGCCAACAACTTAACACTATTACATATTTTGCTAACAGGAAAATTTCAGCTTTGTGAACAGTGTATTTCGTCCTTATAGTAGACTAAGTTGTTGATCCCAACTCTTCCCTGCCCTGCAGTGCTGTACACTCACATCCACACTCTTGTTGACAGAGTCTCCTAGTGTACCTGGCTGTGACCTATGATCCTGGCTAGCATGATGTCAGCAAAGGTCTGAAACATGCTTCCATTATTTGGTTCTCCCTTTTGCCCTTCTGTCATCACCATAAAAGAAGCACACCCTCCAGCCTGGGTCCCAGGATAAGGCATCTGGAGCAGAGCCAGAGCAGCAGACCCACAGGTATATACCCTGAAGCAGAGATGCCAGGGCCAGCTTTGTGGTGATCCTGAAATACATGTAGAAAGGTCCCAAGTAGGATAGAACAAGACATGTAAGTACGTATCTAAATTACTGAACATACTAATAATGCCAATAGCATTTCCAAACTTGTCAGAAAAAGATGACAATATGGAAGGCAGATTTCAAAAGAAAAATGCAGACTCCGTTGAAAACACAGAAAAGCATTTCATCACTAACATACCCTCCAGCATATAAAGGAGGAAAGCAAGAGTCAATCACTCCCATCCTGTTAGAAGTGCAGCTGCCCAACGGAATAAACACTACACTTTTAGGGATCAAAACTATCAACTATGAATTTTAAATGCAGACCACTGCTAGACATTGCCTGGTAAAGACAGAGCAGGATAAACAGCATGCTCACATGTGATTAAGACCACAGGCTACCTCATTAAATGGGACCAGGGGAGCTCAGAATAGGCTGGTCAAGTAAGAATGCAGACTAATAACTGCATAATAACATGAGCTTTAGAAAACATTACTTGTAGTTTTTTTTTAATTAGTACAGATCATTCTATGCTCACAAAAGCTACAATTTTTCCCTTAATTTTTATTTTTCTATTACTATTATTTTTACTTTGGTTCCTGTAGAACGGGAAATGGATGCTTATGAAACCACAGCACTATTACTGTCATACCTATTTCGGCCAACAAGACTTCTGCAGTGTGCCTGTGAGCTGTCCCCTGATACACGAGGCCGATGCCAACCACTGCAGCCACCTGGACGTTGTGAGGCACGTCGAGCTCCGTGGACGTCGGGGGTAGGAGAGCAGGAATGTGAATGCTGAGAAGCCGTGTAATTGACATATCCATGGTGCCTAGTTTAGCCGCAGAAACACCAAGCAGCAGTCCGATGCTCGTCATTTCATGACCCTAAGAGGGGAAACAAGACTGAGACTTAAGTCACTACCAAAACCAAAATGTTGTTTTATATAAAATACTGCCAGCCAGTACTCTCAGTAAGTACTTTTACGTGACAGGCACAGCGAGAGGCTCCAAGAATACAAGAGCAGACTAAACAGACATGGCCCTTGCTCTCATGAAGTCAGAGCCCTTTGGAAGGAAAAGTATTAAACAAAAAAATTAAATATATTACTAAAAGCTCATATCAATGAAAAGATATAAAGATTATGAAAGAGTATTTTAACAGAGCTTAATTTAGTTAGGAGGGACTGGAGAATTATGGAGAATTTTTAAAGAAGTGAAATTTATAATAGGACCCAAAGGATGAGTACAAATTACCAGGAAAAGTGGTAGAACAGGGGGGCACTAAAATTTACAAAGTGAGAGAGAATGATGTCAGGTGAGGGAACATGTAAATGACTCTGAGGTGATTCAAAAATAAACCCTCACGTTGATGGTCAGCTGACCACAAGGGTGCCAAGACAACTCAATGGCAAAGAACAGACTTTTCCAAAAAAAGTGCTGTGATAACTGTAGAGCCACATGCAAAAACTGAAGCTGGATCCCTGCCTTGCATCATACACAAAAATTAACTCCCAGTGGGTCACAGAACTAAATGTAAGATGTAACTAAAGCTAAAACACTCTTAGAAGAAAGCACAGGTGTAAATCTTTGTGGCCTTGGGTTAGGCAATGACTTCTTAGATATGACACCAAAAGCAGAGCAACCCAAGAAAAAATGGATGCACTGAACTTCATCAGAACTAAAACCTTTTGTGCTTCAAAGACACCATCAGAAAATGAAAAGACAACCCAAAAGACAACAGCATGGGAGAAAATTTTTGCAAATCATGTATCTGTTAATGGACTAGCATCCAGAATACACAAAAGGACTCTTACAACTCAGTAAGAAGGCAACCCAATTAAAAAATAAGCAAAGGATTTGAATAGATGTTTCTCTAGAGACGACATACAATGACCTAAGAGCACGTATAAAGATGGTCAATGTTATCAGCCATCAGGGAAATAAATGCAAACCAGAACCACAATGAGGTATTACTTCGCATCTACTAGGATGACTGCAATGAAAAAGACAGTGTTGGCAAGAATGTAGAGACACTGGAATCCCCATGAATTGCTGGTGGGATTATTAAATGGTATACTCACTCTGGAAAACATTTCAGTAGTTCCTCAAAAATTTAAATAGGAGTTACCATGTGACCCAGCAATTCCACTCCTAGGAATATCCCCAAGAGAAATGAAAACATTCATCCACACAAACATGTGTACATAAACATTTATTGTAACATTATTCATAATAGCCTAAAAATAGAAATAACCCAAATATCCATCAACGATGAATGGATAAATAAAATACAGTGTATCCACACAACGAAATATTTATTCAGCAATAAAAAGGAATGAAGTGCTGAGACATGGTATAACATGGACAAACCTTGAAAACGTTACAGTAAGCAAAAGAAACCAATCATAAAAGACCACATATTGTTTGGAAAGGTCCGTAATAGGCAACTCTATAGAGACAGAAAGTAGGTTAGCAGTTTGCCAGGGGCTGGAGGGAAGGGGAAGAGAGGGACTGCTACAAAGTATGAGGATCCTTGGTGTGGTGATGAAGATGCCGTAAAATTAGCAGTAGTAATGGATGCACAGCTCTGTGAACATAATAAAAACCACTGAGTCGTACACTTTACGTGGGCAAACTTTTATGGCATAGAAGTGGAAGAGTTTATGCCAAGAGAAGGAGTTCGGTTTGCTCAGTCAGTCTCTATGGTTGGAACGTGGGGAACAAGGGAAAGAGAGGCACTAAGTAAGGCTGGAGCGGTGAGGAGGATCACAGAGGCTCCTGGAATGTACACTCAGAGCAATGGAAGATCACTGAACACTCTGAGCAGGGAAGCGATACACCCTAATGTATACTTAAGAAAGATCACCCTGCCTGCTGTAAGAATGGACTTGGAGGTCTAAGAATGAAGAAGAGCAAAGATAACAATTAGGAGCTACTGTAATCGCCCAAGGGAGGCACAACGCCAGGAGCTGGGAGCACGAGTTCTCACCTTGGTCAAGTAGTCGTGGATATTGAGAGTAGCCAGCTTGGTGAGGTGCCCATTCAGACCCAGGGCCATGAGAAAGCCAGCATACTCATTGGCTAACTCAGCGTGCTTGGGCTTATTGTAAACAATCCAAGCTGAGTCGATCTGGGAGGCAGGGGCTATCTTCAGGCCGGCAGCCACGCCATTGTGGAAGCTGGCCCAGCTTGTCATGTTGGGAGGCACGTCGATGTTTCCACTGTTCAGGTCTACTGTTGTGTTCCGAGGAGGGGCTCGCCCTATTCAGGCAAACAAAATTTAAAATTGAGAGAATAAAAATTCACAAAATTGTTAAACTTAGATTTTTGAGAACAGAGATTATTTTTCCTACATTCAAAACCCTTACCCCCGTAACACCTGGAATTATATTAGTTTATTATGCATGAACTTTCATACATTTGAGTCAAACCTGATGCCAAGTGGAAAAACCTTAACTGTATAAAATAACTCACTGCCCTTTCTGCTAAAATACATGGGACTATAGTAAGATAACTGATACCAATTTAACTTTATACAGATCTGGTTAGGAAAGCCACTACTTTGAAATCTTTCTTTCAAACAGTAGGAAGCTTATTAAAAAATAAAATGAAAATTACCACCACAAACTACATGAATAATAAATTCCAAAATGTGACTGATGGCAATGATGTTACTTTCAAATACGCCATCCCATCTTTTCTCTGGTTAAGGAAAAACGATGTTTTAAAAAGAGACAGGGAACTTTATAAATTTGCTCTGTCTCTCTTATCTATCTATGTATCTATCTCTATATACAGATACCTAATTATATACTATTGTTAAAAATGCAAAATTGCATTCAAAGATACCTATATAAACTACATCATTGTATACACTTGAGTCACCCAGTGAACCATAAGAGTAGTCACTAAATTTAAATTTATGGTCAGTTTAAGAGCAATGTAAATTAAATGTTCATGATGCTGTGTTTTCTTTGAATGTCTTTTCTTGAGCATTTTGAATTTGATTTATACTGTGTATTGGAATACACTGAATTTTTTTATATTTTTAATATTCTGTATGAGTTCAAGTCATGGATATTTAAAAGACATATTCTAAATATTGCATAAAGTTATACAGTTCACTACAGGTTTGAAAATGGGCTTTTTAAGGAGTTTTGAAAGTTATGTAAATTTTAAACAGACTCAGTGTCTTATCTGTAGTCTGTATATGCACACACAGACACAAGCACAAAATAAACTTGTATTTACCATTTACTTTCTGTACCTGAAAACTAACTCAAATGCTAGTCTGTGATAGCACGACACAGGTGACAAGCTTGTGAGTTATACTTTTACTTTCTCAAAAAAGGCAAAGACTCTAATAATGAAAAAGCAAGTAAAATTTCTAGAACAGCAATTCATCATATGCATAAGACATAATATTTACATACAATAGAACATGAAAGGCAATGGGGTAAAGCAAATTTTCCTGAGTAAGAATAACTAGAAGTTCAACAGGCAAAATCAGCTTGGGTTAAGGAACAATTTCAAGTAATTGTTTTTTTTCCTAAATGAATTTATTACTAAAACAAGATTGTCTTTTGGGAGGGGAGTGTTTGGAGGGGGCCGTACCAGAATGCCTAAAAGGATAAAACTTTGGATGAATGTCATAAATATATTTAAATTATGCAAATTGACCTAAATGTACTAAGAAAGAGACAACAATGACTCACGTATTTATTTTTTGACATCCACCCAAGTATTACTGCCCAGATTTAATACATTTTAACATTTGTCAATTTTGCATGAGATTTTCCTTTAAACCCAAACTTCTATATGAAAACATTCAAAGAGGTGAAAAACTAATAAAAGGAACACCTACACACAGTGCCCTCCATCAAGGTTCAGTAACTGTTCAGATGTTGCCATGGTTGCTTTATCTCAAGAGAAAACAGCTAAATACTGACGGTAACTCTGCTGGATGTGCCTCAGTGGGATTATGGCTCCAAGACAGGTGTGATATGGGACATGGGAATGTGTTTTTCACCCAGCTGATCTCATTTTCTGTACGCTGCTAAATCACAAGCTTTCTACAAATCTGAGTGGGAGGGACCTGGGTTTCTTAATTATGCAACTTAAAGTACCGTGAAATTGTATTTGCATATATCATATATCTTATACGTTACTGTACGCATTATATACACATTTTGTACAGGTCTCATAAAACCATATATACTATATACTTGAAGGGATTTTCAATAACAATTTCAATTATATACAGCTGTCACCTTTAGTGATCAAATGGATGCGAACTATAAAACTCATTATAATCAATAATATTGGGAAACGAGCACTCATATCTGGCAGAAGTAAAAACCCATGCACCCAACCAGAAAAAAATTTGACAATATGTTACATTAAAGCCTTAAAATCACGCTGTCTTAGGAGTTCTGCTTTTAAATAATTATCCTAAATAAATTATAAATATACCACAACAACATGTTTGTAATAGCAATAAACAATAATTTCCAACAATACCAGGTTGTTTATATAAACTATATTCCATTAAAGTAAATACTTTGGAGCAAATAAAAATGAAGTTGTTGATTAAAAATGTATATTATATATACATAATATAATTGTGTGTGTGTGCATATATATATATGCTAGAAATAGCAGGATGCTCACTATATAGTAAATTTTTAAAATAATTTCTAAAACAGGTTTAAACTTTCTGATAATTAAACATAAAATTATAAAATGGAGAAATAGAATTGGGAAATGAATAAATCAAAATGTTAACGTTAGTGAACTCTAACAAGCAGGACCATTTTGGGTGATCATTTTTTCTTTTTGCTTAGTATATTTTCTCGTTTTTGTACAAGGATCATCTATTCACAGTAAGATACAGCAAGACATTTCAAGACTAAATATCTTTATGTCTTATACTGTAAGATTATTTAAAGTTCAATAATCTCACCATTATCAATAATATCTTCCTAAACTTTCTCTAGTGCCTTTTTATAACTTGAAATGGTCTCATTAAAAGCAAAAATTAGTAATGGGTTCTGTTCTACTTCCCTCAGTGTTTAGTTTAATTTGCTTTTGGAGCTTTGATAACCACTACAGGAGCTATTAACAATATTTAAAATCACTGGGGATAGAAAGAGCATTTCTTTGGCTGTAACTAAAATAACTCAAAAGAACTCCACTAAACATATACTTAATCATTTTCTTTTCTCACTGAGTCCAGAATTTAACATACCAGTCAAATTTAACTTGGGAATAGGCAATGGTTCCGTTGGAACAGGATGATACGAAAACAAGGTAAACATTCCTCGTCCTACAGGAAGAGCCATAGTTCGCTGACACAACTGGAGCAATCTATAATTACAATGAAAACCAGCTTGTGAAAAAATTTTAAACAAAAAAAACCATACTTTAATTTGTAGACAACTATTTCAAAGCAAACGTGCTATGTAAAATGAAGTCACATCAAAGTAAATCCACACAAAGATGTGGGTGAATCATTCAAACACAGTATTCTCACTTTCATACTCTTCCTACCATTAGAAACTCTGAGGAGGAGACACTTCCTTCTTTTGTTTCACATTTGGTTTGAATTAAAACCAGCTGCTCTATAAACCAAGCCAATTCTCCCTAGGCCTTTGAAAAGTAAAACCTGGCTGTCAGAGGTGCAGGAGGACGAGGTATTGAGCATGGACAGTAGCAGCAGTCTGAGGGCCAAAGGGGTCGTAGTTATGGGGACACTAGTGTAACCAGTGCAAAGAAATCTATTCAGTGCATATCTACAAGGTGCTGAAGCAGGTGTACCCCAACATCAGCACCTCTTCCAAGGCCATAAGCATCACAAAGTCATTTGTGAACCATGTGTTTGAGCGGCTAGCTCAGTACTCAGACTGAACCACAGTGACATCCTTGGACGTCCAGACGGCCGTGCGTCTCCTGCTGCCTGGGGAGCTGGCCAAGCACACTGTGCCCGAGGGCACCAAGGCCGTCACCGAGTACACCAGCTCCAAGTGACCCAGGGCCTAACATTAATAAAGAGTGAACTGCTCCCGCCAAAAAAAAAAAAAAAAATCAGCATCACAGAATCAGTGAACTCTGATAATAATAACAACGGCTGACTGCACTGAGCTTTGCTATGTACCGGGCAGTATTTGAGGCACTATGCAGAAATGGCCCACTTGATCCCCAGAGCAGCCTGTGAGGTGTGAACGCCGCAGTCACGCCTATTCTTACAGTTGAACTAAGTGAGGCAGCAAGAGGGTAAGTAACGTATCCAGTCGCCCAGCAGACAGCGGCCAAGCCGGGTTCCGGAGCCCGTGCCAAGTCCCATGCCTCACTTCTCCGTCATTCCACCTCCCCACTCAGGTGACTGACACCTGGGTATGTGCAGAGAGGAAGGGAGATTATGACTAATCCAGAGCTTCAGCAGCCTGTGCCTACCTGTGGACGGTCCTTCCCCTTTAAACAGGACAATATAGTAAATAAAGTCAGGAGAACTAGAAAACAGTGGCAGAAGAATGACAAGTGACAGAGACAAGGTACATAAAAGGACAGGTGAGAATTTTAAAATACAAGTTGAACTGTCCCAAGGCAACAGCTCAGGAACGTCACAGGCATGTGACGTTGCTTACTACTGAGTCTTACAATTTATCAAGGTGTCAAGAGTGGCAGGAGAGAAGGCTCATACAGTATTACCTATCACATCAGAAAGAAAAATACTAGTGTTAAGTTTAAACCACATGTTAAAAAAAAAAAACTCAGAACATTTTATTTTTCTGGTCAACCCACACAAGAATGAGTTCAGCATTTTGCTGTTTGTAAATTCTTAAGGTGACTACAAGCAAAATGGTTTTAGATTCGCCTTTTCTAAACAGCACATAGCTATATTTTAAGAGGAGGCGGCTCTGAAATACAACATATGTCACCAAATGACAAAATATTTTGAAAACATGTATGGTTTATTTAGATTGGGAGAGAACTTAAAATACACGGTACTTTAAAGTACCTTTTTAGAGTTTTCAGCACTAAAAACCTCTGCCAAGAGATGATGACGTGTTCTCCTTTACCTGTTTTCTTTTTCCTCGATGAACTCGTGGTCACTGAGTTCCGGGTACTGCACCACATTGACACGCACAGGATGTGCACTTTGAAGGAGCCGTCGCACGTCCTGCACCCTTAAATCTTCACTCCATATTAATGACATCACCTCCTGATTCATGTCATTCATGCCATCATCCTCCTCCTCAGTGTCTGTTCCTGAAGGAACATCTGATGAGAGCACCTGAGTAACAGACTTGGTTGTAATGTATACTGTAATGTATACTGGCACTCTGACCTAAAAGTCTTTTTTTTAAGTATAATTATATTGCTTACTTGGAAATATTCTTTACTGAGCCTAGGAAAAAGCTTTCAATTTAGGACAATAGTCAAGAGGCTGACTCCACTGAAAGAAGAATTCTAAATAAATTGTAAGAATCTAACTATATCCTAAATATTCCAAAAAGGAAACAAATTACTGCAAATGGAATATTAATACCTTTCACTGTTACTAAAGAACCCACACTAATTTAAATATTGCCTTTGATTAACAGAAGTAGAGCACAACCTGGAAGGATATAAACCAAGGCCTGGGGGAGGTAAGACAGTATTTTCTTACTTTCATGGTTGGTTTTCACTTTTTTTTTCTATGTTCCAAATAAAATTTCTTAAAAGGAAGGGACTAAATACAGCAAAACAAGCAAGGAGAGTTAATTCCTTGGTTATTATTCTGCCCTCATAAGCCCAGCATGTAGTTTAATAGGAGTCTTTCCAGTACAAATAATTCAGACTTCAAGACAGATGTGAACAGCAGAAATCTTATTTTCGCTCAAAGAGTTGTATACTCCTTTCTCAAAAGATTAACTCCTAGGAGAAATGCTGATGTTCTGCAACACTTAATGTGGAAGCAACATTAGCCTGGGGAAAAAAAAATAATGGTAGGTATAGCTAGAGAATCTCTCTTACTTTAGTCGATTACTTTATTATAGTTTATTATAATTCCCACGAAATATCTAATTTTAAAAGAAACTATATTCTAATAGGAGAGTTAGCTATAAAACATAGACCCAAAGAGCCAATAAACTGATTTATGATGAGTTAGAAATTGTAGCCTCCAGTAACTGAACAAACTGAATTTAGACAAATACTTAAAACGACATTTAAATAGAGATGAGTGATTCTCAACACCGCCTGGTCTTAGTGCTACTGATGTGCTCACTCACAGCAGCAGAAGAGGTCTAAACGCTGAAGGCTCATCTTGGTCAAGCAAAGGATAATCATATTGTCAGCAAAAAAAATTGGTTTTCTATCTAAAACAAGACAATGGTAACTCAACTAAGCGTTATTATTTAAGTGCAGATTAAAAGACAGACGCGCTGGTACGACCCTGCAGGAGATGGGATCCCCCACAGAACCCGCTTCTGTCAGGAACCCACTATGTAACACTGATGTCAGGAATAAATTCTGATACAGTCTCTGAAGAAGCATTAATAGCCTAAGATCTCACGTGGATTATGAACAGTTACAATGTATGGATTATCATGTTTGTGTTCAAAGGCTAATAAGAGATGAGCCAAATTTACTCTGTTTTCTCAGAGACATAAAAGTACCAAAGTCACCAGGATGGAATGGCCATCCCTGAATCCTCCTTGATCCTCAGGGTCATGCAGTGCTACTACTCATTGTCTTTAAAGTTAGTGAGAGTTCTAGAAGAAATTTTAAAAGTTATTTTTTTTTAAGCTTTAAAAGAGGCTGATTTTAAAAGAAAAATAATTGGACGGTGATGATGTATTTCACTTTCTATTTGTAGGTTCTTAGAACCCATTATTACAAAAACAGATTTGAAGATTGATGAAGGACAGTATTTGAGGAAAATAACATTAAGATAGCTTCTAAACAACGTTAGTGTCCCCTCAAAAAAAAAAAAACCTTTTTAGAGGGGCTTCAGTTTTATATGATTAAAGATATATTTACACCCATTTAAAAGGTTAAATGCAAGAAATGCAACGCATCAAAAAAGTATGAAAGAGTAAATAGCTATGTATTAACTATTCAAAATCAGGATTATGTGCTCCCCCTATTTCCTCATAATAATTACAAAGTAGTTAATTACTAGTATCACACAAGCAGGGAGCCAGTGATAGCAGTTGTTCAGCTAACGCAGGGTCAAGGGAAAGAAAGGTGTCCAGGCGAGACAGAGCATTCACAAAACCTCCTGTTCCCATGTTCAATTTACAATTAATAAGATCTGTCCAATTTTAAACCCTGTCTAGTATATAACATAATCTGACACATACACTTGCAGAAAGACTTAAAGGAAAATGAAGAACATTTCTACTTTGATTTTATTGAGGAGAAAAATGAACTTGGACTGGGTACGTTGATACTCACAGATTTCCCTTTGGGCAAGTTTCCTTCGCAGGCCTGCTTGGAGAGATCCTGACGTCCAATCAAGAGACAGACAGCTTCTGGCCAGTCTGAAGCAGGCTGCTCCCGGCAGTGATAAATCGCATCTCTGATGGGGAGAGCAATTCCAAAGGGAAGAGTTTCCAAGTCTCTTAAAGTGAAACCTTAGGGCGAAAGGAAGGGAGACATTTTTCCACTTAGACTTACCACTGTCCCAAATATCCCTGGTGAAGTTAGTAAACTCTATCCTAACAAGTAAGAAAGAAACTGACTTTATTCATCTTACTACCAGACCGGTGTCTCAACATCAGGGATTAGTATCAAAGTTTTCTTTAAAAAAAAAAAGTTCCTAAAAACCTTGAGAAAAAGACAAACAATCCAATAGGAAAAACACAAAGGACAAAAAGACGTTTTCCTAAAAGGAAACACAAGCGGTCAATAAACGTATGAAAAAATGCTCTATCCAGTGAGTGATCAGGGAAATGCAAATTAAAACCACTAGGAAATAGAATTGCACACTCACTTGACAAGCACATATTTAAGTCAATCAATACCAAGTGAAGGCAACTATGTAGAGAAACATTAATTTTCTTCCACAGCTGGTGGCGGGGGTGTGGTATATACTGGTCCAACCACTTTGGAAAATATTCAGTATGTATAGTTAGGTCCACCCCTATGGTCCATCAACAGCCATGCAGAAAGTTGGGCACATGTGCACCAGGACATAAGTATTAAAATATTCATTAGCAATGTTTCATTATGGCAAAATAAAAAAGGGAAGGGAGGAAAGAATCACGGCTACCATCAATAGAATGGATAAATAAGCTATGATATATAGTCAAGAAGTGGATTATACAGCAATGACAACGAATGAGCTACTGCTACGTGAGTCAATATGGACGAATCTTTAAATAATATTATGGAGTAAAGGAAATACGATAGTAAAAAACATATTTATATCAATATCCATTCACGTGACATTAAAAAACATACAATACTAAGCAATAGATAAAGATGATAAAACTGGCAAAAAGAATGATTGAAGGTAATATAAAATTTAGACGGGGTACCTGTACAGGTGGTCACCTGTAGCACTGGGCTGTGTAAGAGACAGACACAGCTGAATGGACACACAGGCCCTTCTACTGCACTACAGTGTTTCCCTCCTAACACTGGGCAACCAGTACATCAATGTTCACTTCACTCTCTAAATTACTATTCTCTAAGCATACATATTTTACATGCTCTTTTGTACATATTCCACATTTCATTTAAGAAAATTTTCAAATCCTCAGGATAATTAAAGTTTATTTTCCCTGTAATGATTTTCTAAATTTTATAATACTATACATTATTTATTAATATAGAAAGTTGATTAAGTGTTGAGGTAAAATGTTTCCTTATATGAGAATTAACACTTTTGTTAAATATTATGTAACATACAAATGTATAGAACTCATCCAATATTTTTCAGCATAGGTACTTCATTATAATACTATGTATTTCAATCATTGGAATTTTCAAGGAAGCATATAAAAAAGAAAAGTGAAAAACGAAGTCATTCAGAACATTCTCTAGATAAGAATTCAGAAACATCTTGTAATATTCATTAAAGCATTACTTTCTAACAAATTATACTTTCACTTTCTCATTTTTTACATTTTCATATCAGTAATTTTTTTAATTTTTAGTTTTTTATAAAAAGCCACAATTTGTATTAAAAATTTCTTTAGTATTTCACTGTTTAAAACCTAGGGGCACAGGCTTTAGGAAGAGAGAATAAACTCTTTCCCTTCCTCTCCCCCATCGCCAGTGAATCTGCATCTTGGTGCGCAAAATGTCTAGCCATCATTCAAATGCAGACCCTGAAGTGAGTTTACACAAATCACTTTTAAATTTTGCCAGAAATACTCATTTCTGACATCTGAGCATTACAATGGCTTCAAGTCTGAATGTGTAGTCATTAGTGTTCTCCATTCTGAGGCCACTTGACAAAGCCACTGCCTCTACTGGTCTCAGAGGAATGACAAAGATTTTTCTTACCTATCGAGAAACCACAATCTAGTACCCCAGATCCTAGAACGTGGAAGCTGGGAGACTGTCAGAGGAAGGAAATGTGGCTCGGGGGGCCATGGTCTCGGCTCTGTGGGATCCCTTCCTACAGCGGGAGCCCCCCTCTTCTCCTGCCGCCCAATTCTAGCGAGCTTGCAGGAAGCCTGGTTAGGAAGGAGGGGCCCAGGGACAGCAGGGGTTTCTCCCTGGCGCTCAGACACGTGAACAGTAACAGAGACTTACTTACCTACGTTAGTCATCCAGACAACTAATCTCTCAGCTAGACTCGAAACTGGTGTGGAATGCCTGAAACTAAACCTGTGAGAGAACAAACATGGAGTTAGTTAACAGAACAGTAAAACACACGAGTGTTTTATATTCTCAGCATAAAAGCACAATCTGAATGGAAGTCACCTGTTCTCCTCTTGTTCTGCTTGTGACTTCTGGGGGGCTAAAAGGTAACAAAACGAAACATTACTTTGATAGTTATTCTAATAAAGAAAATACATAATCTGCACAAAACATTTGGAAATAAAAATTCATTAACAAACAATTCCTGAAAAAATAACAGAACAAGCAGTACTCTGGCATGCTAGGAAGTATAAACATTTCCCTGAGGCTAAAACGGTCCTTTTTAGGGATACTGAAAATATGAAGGTTAGATTTTAAGTAATCTTGATCTCTAAAAATCAACCCCAGACTCTACACTAGAATGGTGTTTTTATGTCACCTCCAAAATGAAGCAAGACACGACCTCTAAAGCACACTTAGGAAATTTTTAATTTTATTTCAACTGATATCGACATCTATAAAAATTTGTTTTGGGAAGTCTAACCTTGACTGACTTACTTATAGTTATTCTGGATAGATACTGTGAGGATTCATCAGAAACAGAGCTTTCATCACCAAGTATGTAGAGGGCGATACTCTGCATAAGGAAAAAAATTAACATTTTTTAAAATATTGAGGCATAATTACATACAGGAAAATTCATCCGTTTTAGATGCACAGCTCTTGCTGAAATTCACAGAGCAACGCACAAAAGGAAAAAGAAGTTGATTTTACTGTACGATAAATTTTTTAATTATACTGAAAAAGAAAAAATAAATAAATAAACAAGTTTGGCAAGACTGTAAATACATACCAAGACTACAAGTCTGCTTCTTTCACAAATTCCAGGGAGGTAAGGATAGGGTGGCATTCCTTCGCCCTTCAAACAAGAGCTCACCCACTGATAAATACTTGGTGGCTCAGAAGTAAGAAATGATGGATGATGCATAAATCCTGTTTGACCTTTAGAATTAGATAAATGTTTATAAAGATACAAGAACACATTAACACAGTACTATTTTATTCTAAAGGAAAAATAACCAACAATACCTGTCATCTGCGAACAATCAGAATAACATTTTTCCACATCCTCCAAAATCTTTATGATTTCTACCACAGTAAATAACTGGAATTTAAATGACTAATATCTTATCCAACCCTGGAAGGAAATTTAGCAAATTCTTGTGTTCAAGGCATATAAAGAATCTAACCAAAAATTTCTGCCCTAACCCTGAAGATGAGAAGACAGGAGAGATACCCAGGATTATGCTATGTTTTAACAACTGGGCCCCAATCCTATGTCCTTTTAACTCTGGATCTAAGACAGCACAATGGTTCTATAGTTGTACTGTCCAGGATGGCAACCACTAGTCCCATACGGCTACTGAGAGACTGACATGAGGCTAGTGCACCTGAGGTACTTAATTTTTAATATAATTAACCTACATAGCATATGGCTGGTAGTTACTAACTGGACAGCGCAGGCCTAGGGCAAAGCATCCTTGGCACTGGGAGCTCTAAGCTCTTGCGAGTCAGCATCATAGGGATGGGTAAAAGTTTCCCCCCTCACTGAGGAAGTTATGACTTACGGCAAATCAGAGATCAAGCACTACAAACTAAAATCTGCCTGGGGAAAACACACTGGCCCTGACTTACAGGCAAATGGTAAGAAATAAATCCTCTGCTCTTTACCAAGAAAAATACAAGTAAATGCCATTACGTTGTTCAGAAAAACTTTAACAGCATGAACACATACCTTGATCAACTGTGCACACTTGCCCAGTAGTTTTGACAAGTGTTGGATAATCTCTATAGTAATGATCTACATAAGGCTCCAATTTTAAGTCCCTAAAATAAGAGCATATAAAAAAGAAATAACAAGGAAGGCATTACAGCATTTTCCTCCCACAGAGTGCAGATTCGTCAGATGAATTTTTCAATTTAAAATACTTCTTTATGAGAAAGAAGATAATCAATTTTAGTCTCTGTATTTTATTTCTTGGACTTTAAAATGCCCAGTACGACACATGCAACCAAAACTCCACTCGCTAGGTAAATTGTGTGGACGTAAAACTACTGCGAAACACCGTGGTTCAGTTTCTCCCGTTATTTATTAGCTGTGTGATCTTCAGCAAGTTGGCTCTATGAAACTCAGTACTTTCCTCTAGAGAATGAGGAGGCACCAGTTAACTCACAAGTTTTTAAGATTAAATAAGAAAATATGTGTGAGAAATACCTTATAAAATGTAAAACATTATACATGTTACATATTTCAGAGAGCCATAATTAGGGTTTGTAAATCATTTCATTACAAAACTATTTTCATCACAGTAATCATTTGTCATTAAGAGAGACTGACCGTCAACTAAAACTGCCACAACTCAGAAAAGAATTTCAGTATTTCAAGGAAACTAACAGAAAGTAGAAATGCACTATACCCTTAGCTCAGAGGTTGGCATTTTGATTCAAAGTTAACTTACTTTATCATCAAGGGTCACAAAGGCTCAAATGACACCTAAGTATGACCTTTTGAATTCAGTATCAAACACAAGGTGCTAGAAAGACTGTTTAAAATTATATTAACCTTATTGTGGATCCACTGCAAGAGCCTGAAAGGCAGGTATGACCACAGACTGAGACAATAACGGGGCAACAAAGACTGCCCACAACTAGCAACGACACCTGTTCTCAGAGACAAACTTGAGCAAGTTTCCTCATCGCTGAAATAGGGATCATAAGGCCTGCTCCGACACTTTCTACATGTAAACTCGGACACTGATAGTTGTCAACACTATCTGAACATAGGCATTATTACAGAAACAGCATCACAGACTTTCCGACACAGAGCAACCAGTCATCCTGTCAAAACAGAGCCAAGCAGGTCACCTTCCGTGTCACACATTTTTGTGACTTCCCACTAATCTTGGGACAAAGACCAGCAACCCCAGCATGACCCACAAGGCCCTTACATAGTGGATGTCTGCAAACAATTCTGTGGTTTGTAGAAAATGCTCTGGTTTTCTGAGAAGGTAGGTTTCAGGCGTTTATTTACAAAGTTCCTACGTGATATTCATGGCTAAGATCAAGCCATCTAACAACCTCCTGGACACTTCTCATCTCCTTACAATATTTACCTTGCCAACTGAACGAGAAGTTCAACAAGTGAACGAATTCCTTCTCCCATCAGAGTATTCAGTTTAAGCTCCTCATAGACAAGGTGAAGAACAAAAAAAATTGCAGGTATGTGAGCGAAGAGAAGTGTAGAAGAATCCACAGTGAGATTCTGCGAGAAGTCCTCATCCTTCACCTGGGGGACTCCCAAAGGACTCAAACACAAAGATCGATTCAAAAGATGCGACTCGACGTCCTGGTGGTAGTCTGAATTTAACAAATACTCCCAGTCCTGAGAAGAATAAAAAGGGTATCAACTTCCAAATATTCCCTTCTTGCCACGTCGTCGTTAAAAAACAAAACCAAGTTCACTTAAAACAATTCAAGCTCCATTTTCATATTAAGTTGTTAAGAATATGAGAAAGAATCACAATGCTGAAACACCAGAACCAACACCTAAACAGCTAAGCAGTTTCCAGATGCCAGCAATAAATGTTAGGACAAACCACCTGTAAAAACCACCTGAAAAAATGCAGTCATGCGCTTTTAGGGAAGAGACTTGGGAAGAAGAATCCTACTATTTAGGTAGAGACTGAGAGAGAAAAACTTAAGGTTATCTTAAGCAACGTCTTATGAGCCAAAAGTAAAGAAGGAAAAGGTGCGAAGTGTGGACAGGCAGATGGAGGCACCACTACACTGATTTGGGTTTTGGCAGGAGGAGGCATCTGCTTGTATCCTATTGGTATATTTATCTTTCCACGTGTGTAAGATGCTGGGGCCAGTGATACAACCTAATAACCAACTGAATTTTACACTCAGACTGTACCACACTTACTTTGTAAGTACAGAGCCTGTTTTAGTTTCTACTTGTGATTTATTGTATTGTGCTGAGAGAGTATACTCTATGGTTTCTTCAGAACCTGGAATTTACTGGTGTTTTTGTCAGGCTTAAACAGTGTGTCATTCTAACTTAAAAGCTCCCGGAATAGATACAGAATCAACCATAACAGTAAAAAGATCTTAAGTCGGACAACCAAAATAAAAAATTCAAGGGGGAGGGTATAGCTCAGTGGTAGAGTGCATGCCTAGCATGCACAAGGTCCTGGGTTCAATCCCCGGTGCCTCAATTAAAAATAAATAAATCAAAACCTAATTACCTCCTCCCCTTCTAAAAATAAATTTAAAATTTTGTTTAAAATTCTGCTTACCGAAAGACACTGTCAGGCCACATACTGGGAGAAAATACTCCCAAAATACACAAATGACAAAGAACTCATCTCAAAAATAACCCACATTCCTCTCAAGAGCAAACCATTTCCATCATTCCATAAAGTTCCCTTGTGCCATTTGTACTTTCATTCTGATACGTTTGAGAACCTAAATTAGAAAAACACTGCACAGAAAGGTAAATGCTATCACTTTAGGTGATCAATTGGCAATAAAACATCTATAAACCCAAACTTAAATCATACATTAAGTAGGTTTGGTCATTTTTAGATGATCATTAAAGACAAAAGTGAATATATAACCACTGAAAACATAACAGATCCTACCTTCAAAATAGCTGTTAGTTAGTATTAAAATAAGCAAAAGGTGCTAAAGTGCACAGAAATCAACAGGAACACCACAAATGTGGGGGAACAGCGCAAGAACCCACAAATTAATTTATATTAGCAAGAAAAAAACAATGCTTACATCATCAGATCCCGTCTCTGAAGGCCTTGCTTTTTTGGGTGCAATGACTGGGGAAAGTGATCCTTCAAAGTCAAACTGGAAGATAACCCCAAAAGAGAAGACAAAATCACAGATTTATCACTGCCAAGTGAATCTTAAAAGATTCAGAAATCAGTTCTACCAGTTGTAGAAACTGAGAACAGTCATCAAAACTCTTTTTTTAAATCTGGAAAAACATGGTACGAATCCCTTCCTTCTAGGGCCCCTTGTGAAATGGAATGAAACCCTACACGTAAACCCTGAGCGTGTGCCCGGGCTCACAGGAGCCCAGTGGTCGTTTCCTTCCCTCCCCAACTCCTCTGGTGACACAGATCTTCACTCCTTCAGAAGAACAAGGGCCACAGACCGCATCCAGAATATGCCAAGTCTCAAAGAATCAACCCAATGTTAGCCAAATGTCAGAACTAAGAGACATTTACTTAGAGTCTGTCTACCGTGGACAATCTAACAGTTCTATGGCAGAGATGGGTAACTACTCTCCAAAATCCGTGTTCTCCTCTTTCTTCTCTAGGACCTAGGGCCAGGTTATGTGTCCCTGCCCCCTCACAGAGTGAGGTGTGGCCCTGTGACAGTGTGGCTATGAATGAAAAAGGAGGTCACCACTGCCAGGCCCAGGTCATGAAGACCTCCATGGGTGTCCCCCGGGCTCTGTCCCCTGCACCTCACTGGATGGAGTCAACTCTAGGGCCATCTTTGAAGCCTCATGTTGAAGAGGACAGGTGCTCCAACAGCCCGGGTCTTTAATTTTGTAAGTGACCTATTAAGGGCCTGTGGGGAAGTTTCTGAGGAGGGAGATGAGGAATACAGCTTTTCATCATTAACAAACTAGACACTTAGGCTAAAGCACTTTAAAATCCACTTTAAATCAAACCTTCCTCCTCACAGACCAAGTAATTTGTGTGTGAAAAGTCGAGGCTTCCAAAAAGAGCATTAAGCCGTGAGTCATGAGACATACTGCAGGCCCAGTACTGAGCAAATCTCTAGTCTGTGATCTCTTTGTGATTCAGTTTCTTCATCAATAAAACCAAGACGACTACTATTACTAATCCTAGCATAACCAGCAGCCATTTACAAAGATGAAATGAGAAACAGCAGTCAAAGTGCTCTACCACGTTATAAAACGTGATCATTCTAATTACTAGTAAAATAGTATTAATACTAAATACTTGGTTTATAATGTACAGACACAATAAGCCTTAGTATTATTCCATTTTGTTGAAGGAGGGATGCCTATTAGTAAACTGACCTGTTATACACTCTGAATGCTGTATTGCCAGTTAGGCAAACATTTGCTTTGATAACAAAGGAGTAACTCAAGAAGAAAATCAATTTTATGTACTTACATTTCTTGTCCAGGCTAAGCGGTCTGTGTTATAACCCATCAAGTTCATGAGACAAATCACAAATAAATTCCATTCTGAGTGGTAACTGGGTCCTCCCGGAGCGCTGTGGACACTGTACCACTTGACAAGCATCTGAACAGCTATTTCTTTTGGCAGGATAAACTTAATTGCTTGCAAACACGTTTGCACTGTTAAAAGCAAAGATTAATTTTAGTATGCTTCCTACGCATGTATTCTTTTCCCTTTTGAATAAGAACATTTTTAAACAACTACCATGTAAAGGTCAATTACTATGAACAGAGAACTGTCATTAAAGAGCCAGTGGGATGCTGACCTAGCCAATCATTTGACACTGAGTTCAACAGCACTTACAAGAGGTCTCAGAATAGCTTTTCAATCATTAATTTGTATCAGAAATAAAATAACCAAACAGCCCATTTTAATAATTCAAGCAGACTCCAGTTTTATTAAAACATTTTTGATTGTATTTTTACTATAATATTAAGTTTAAGTGAGTTAAGGCAATTATTTTAATTTCTCAGTTTCTCTAACAATGAGAGATCTATTTTTGGATTAAAACTCATCAAATATGCCAAAAACTATTTAGTTACTTGAGCTTCCTTGTTGCTCAGATTTTCCTGCAAGTGGCATGACCACACACTTGGAATCGCGCTGCATGGCACTGCTCATCATAAACTCCCTCACAGAAGCAGAGCCAGCACATCCTTCCGGTGCACCCCCAGCTTAGAGCCCACGTGGAGTGAACAGCACAAAAGTGCTCCCCTGCTCTTTACAGTTTCTCTGCACAGTAAAACCTCCATCCCATGGCTTCAAAAACAGCCAAAACTTTAAAACCCCAATTATTAATGCAAACCAGCAATTACTCCAAATCTTCTAAATCAAACTAAGAACACACAAAAGTGAGGTTCGAGCCTCAGTCGTACCCAATTCAGAGGTGGCAATTTCAGGAATAGTGATCCTAACCATGGAGCCATTACTCAGTTCCTGAGAAAAGAATGGAAACAAACAAGAGCAAGTAAACAGAATCTGCACATTCAGGCTTTGAATGTCTTAAAAATAGCTGGTGACTGTTTGCCTGTCAAAGCAAATTCAAAAAAGTACATGAATAAGCAGTAATATCTTTCAAACAAAATTGAATACTTTGAAATTTCAGAAACAATAAATGTGCTTATTTGTAAAACATTTGCAAAAAGTCTTCTCTTTAATAAAGTGTCTAATTTTCATGTAGTCACCATCACCCAAAAGTCTCACTTTTAAAGATAAAAATCACGTCCATATAAAATTCAACCGATTAAATAAGCTTTGTTTTCAATAAATTTTTAATAAACTTTAGAAAAGTTGCTTTTAAAAAATGGTGCAAAAAAATGACACATTACAGGAGATTTTAAAAATCACAACAAATGTATGTTTCCATTTTTCAGACAAAATCCTTCATCCTAACAAATTTTAAACCACCCTAATTCTTGCAAAGCTACCTAACCCTTTAAAAATAAGCACGTATACTTACTAGAGTTACTCTGTTGTGGACAGGGTCTCTGATGGAATGAATGTACGTTCCAAGCTGCTGGAAAGTACAATCCTCATTACAGAGAGACTCATGAAGCTTGGAAGAATCCCTCAGTTCTGGAACTGGGGACAACAGAACAGCCTGTAAAAGCCACAAATACAACACCTATGAAGCATTTGGGGGGAAACTGAGGATAAAGAAATGTTGTCTTTTTTGCATATGGTCTAACTAACACTAGTACATAATGATTTAAAACCATTCTGCTCTAGGTATGATGAAGTACTTTGTAGCAGACCAAGGTCCTCACCAAAAGCAACCAGAAAAAGTAGATAAAAAGAGCAGAACATCTGACTGATGGCACTGGAGAGCTGTGGACACCTGTGGACTCGAGGGGCCACGACGAGGACAGAAAGGGGGAATCAGAAACGGGGTGGCCCAAAATTCTTACACCGCTTTTCCCCATTCTGGGCATCTGCAGTATTTGGTGGGTTCTGGGGAGGAGGGAGTATGGGCAGATGAGGGTGGCCTGGACGGCCGTGGCTAAGAAGAAGAGAAGGCAACACTTCTGGTGATGCTACAAGGCTAGAGACGTAGACTGTAACTCAGCTGAGACAGGTGACTTGAGACACTAAGAAGAGAGAGCAGTGAGAAAGCAGACATGAAAAAGGGACTTGGTGATGTTTCCCCTACAGGCAAGTGTTTGTTCTGAAAACGTAAGAACAATATTTTTTCCTGCAGTTGGGGGGTATGCAAACAAAATTTTTAAATCATCTTAGTTAATATGCAGATGCTTCCTATTTTAAATCCAGTCATGACCACCAGCCCTTTTGGTATTTCTGTAAATCATTTTATAGGACTTCTTCAAGTGAATATTTTGTCAACACTAAAAGCCAATCAAGCATCAGATGAATTTATTATTTATTTATTATGTTTATTAACTACTCCAAAAGCTGCCCCCAAAAAACTGGCTGCACTTGTCCTGGATCTAAGTCTAACTGCACAGTCTGAGAGAGAGGTGGAAAAGCCATCAGCCAGTGTGTTACACTAGGGTCTCCCTGAGATCTCACAGCTGGCAATAGAGACACTAACCATTCCTGGGCATATGGAATTCTAAGAAAGATGGGAACCACTTTACGTTATAAAAGAATTCCTCTAAATCACACAAAACCCTCCGATAATTCTCCAGCTCTTCTCTAGAAGTTCTGCAAATGCCTTGGCTTAAAGCGAACTTTACACCTGTATGCAACACTGCACCTGTTTAAAAAATAAAATCAGGGCCTAGACATTTCCAATACAACTGCCAGCACCAACCTTCACTCTGAACTGCCCCTCAACACCTACACTCAGATGTCTCTCAAATCCAGACCACTTTTCTCCAGGCTTCCTAACTTGGTCAGTGTGGGTATCCACCCAGGTCCCCCACATCTCTCCACAGCAGTGCACAGCACCAATCAGCTGACAGGCTGTCATCTCTCCCTCCTCCAGGCCCCTCAAGTCACTCTCCTCCTTCCCAGGACACTGCCGGAGCTCAGACCCAAATGTTTGCACTTCTTACAATGACACAGTCAGCTACATCTGGGATCTAACTGGTCTCCCTATTTTCAATCCCAAGATAAGCCTATCTAATCCTAACATTCTTAACTCCATCCTCAAAACCTGGAATGCCCAGGTGACGGCATTCAGAATAAAAACCATCTTTTCATCCTTTCCTCTTTAAAAGCATGTTAGGAAGAGTGTAAATCCCAGCTCTATCACTTATTAGCTGTATGTCTTTAGACAAGTAATTTCTTTGTACCTCTACGTACCCATTTGTAAAGGAAGGATTAATCTTTTCCTAATAAGGCTCTTCCATGGCATTAAATGAGTCAGTACATATAAAACACTGGGGTCAGTGCCTCGCACACAGATAACACTGGGAAACAGGTTGTTATCATTATCCCTGCTCTGCCTCACCCAGCAGGCTACCTGTACTTCTGTAAGCATTCATTCCATAGGCTTGTTGAGTCTTAACTTGTGTGCCAGGAGACGGAGATACAAATAGGCATTAAAAATGTTTCACACTCTCCGGCCTTCATGCCCATGCCCACAGGATTCCTCTTTATACCAGTGCCCCTTTCCACTCCAACATCCCACTCATCCTCCAGGTCCGTACCACACTGGACATGTCTCTCAGAGATGAGCCTTTGGTTCTGCCACACCATCCCATCAGGATGTATCTTTCATCGATGAATCTCCTATGGTGCTTTCTGTTCCTCATTCATAAGACTTTAATGGTCTCCTTTAAACCATAATTTCTTAAAACAGACAGTACATCTATTCCACACAAGTAAATTGTGAGATCCCTCAATGGAAAAGAATGCATCACTTTCCTCACTGTAACACCTTCAAAAAGTACCTTATATATCACAAGGGAAGTCAATGTAGGTTTACTGAATAGCCTGTGTTTGAAAATATTTATATTCTACAAGCATTAACAAAATTTCCAAATTCTGTCATTTTTCAACAGAAAAGAAGTTAATCATGGAAAGAATTATTATTTGGCCAAACTTCTTTAAAACACTATTAATTTCTGACAACACCTAATCCCCTTCTTACCTCATCCAGGGATCCAAGCAGCTTCCTCAGAGGGTTAGGGGTGCTGATGCTGTCCAGCGGAGTGCTGGGCCGAGGCATCGTGCTGGACATCGTCAGGGAAGGAGCTGGCAGCCCAGGAATAAACACCTTTCCCACCTTAAAGCAAAAAAGTGTGGGGAAAATATATTAGCTTTAATGCATCATATTCTTAAATAAAACATTAAGGCATGTAAGCATGTATTTCCTTTGACAGTTCAGAGCTCACCAAATACAACTAAAAAGCAAAGAGAGTTAAAATTTTAATAATGTATCAAATTCCACCATCCAACTACAATATCTTGGCATAAATTCCTTTAGTCTGATTCCTTCTTTTCATTACTGAGGACCATTTTTTTTTTGCAGGAAATGGGGGGGAATATTAATAAAGTCAAGACATTATACAAAATTCAAGTATACTATGCATTTTTCTACCTTGTGGTAAAGACAGCAGGGACACTAAGCTTTCAGAGACTATAAACATCAATCTTGTTAACTAAGTCTCCTGGCAGAAAGAAAGAGCACCAAGCACTTCTGGGGGGGCCAAAAAAGTTAGGCTGAAATAATCAATAAATTAAATCCAACCTAATTCTAACTGTGCTCTCTAGCTCACAATCTGTCTTTCATCGTAAACTCAAGTATTTCTTCCTCAAAAAAACCGTACATAAAGTAAGTTCTTCATTGACCTTAAAAGAATGAATTGACAATCCACGCTAGCTATCCATGGGGTTCTCAGGAAAAACATAACAGAAATTCACATCCAGACAAGCTGAAAGCTCTTGATAAGATTAACAGGAGATACTCAGAACTAAAGTCAAATTTTAACAATATACACATTTAGGTCAATATACTACCCAAGAGCTAATAAAATTACAAAAATTGCCCAAATGAAGTCCTTAGGATTAAAAAACAAAAATGACAGGGAGAATCAGTATATAGAAAGGTTTTAAAAGCCATCAGAGACCTCCAGGGCATAATAATACGGAGTAAGCACATTCCACACTATCCTTCCCACTAATTACCACCATCACCAAGTCTGCATGAAATTTACAGTGCAACTAACAGAAAACTCTAAAAGGGTGGGCAAGAAGACTGGCCAGGGACCTGAGAGCCAGGAATGACCTGTGAACTCCCTACATCTTTGCTTTTGTTTTCTTATCTCCCTACATAACCAGGCCTTGGGCTCTCAAGGGGCCTGCAACCCCAAAATGCCCACAGGCACAGACCAAAAGAGATCTCACGAAAACCTTACTCTTTTTGGCAAAACTTCCTCAGGAAGAGAGTGACCAAGTGGGGCAGAAACATTTCTGCCTTATCTGCCCTACTCTAGACAAACACACGGAAAAAGCCACAGCCCTCAGTGCCCTCCCCACCAGGAGCTGAGGATGGAGACTAGGGGCAGTCCTGTCATCCCACCTGCGAGGACTAGGTGGCGCGCCGCCCCCAGCACAGAGACGGGAGGCCAGGCCAAGCTTACATCCCAGCGCCGCAGAAACCAGGTGGCAGGGCCTCTTCCTCATTCCTCATCAGGCACTGCAGCTGCAGAGACTGCGGACAGAGCCCTGCTTTCATCTCCAGGAGGCAGCCCCTCTCCACCTCCCCACCGTGCCCAGCAACTGTCAAGAGGGAGGAGCCTGACTTCCATCCTTGCTAGATGATAAATAAGGCAGCCTACCTCTCCCCTTTCCCCTCCCCCAGGGACCAAGGGGGAGCACTGTATTCCATCCGCACCCTGCAATAACCCTCTGTCCCAGTTAGGGAGTAAGGTGAGGAACAGAGAGGAAGGAAACAGAGAAAAGAACTTTCTAAATCTGTGTATGAAATCCTGGGCAGGCCTCTGAGTGGCCCATGTATGAAACGGACCAACAATGACACAGTAAAAGATCTGAGAACTAAACACCAGCCCATAACACCATTCAGTTCTCAAACTGGCCTACAGGTAGCACAGACATTGAGGCAGACCACAGTCTCATTATGGGAGCACGCAGGGAAAAAGGCCCATGAAATCCTGCTCTCCTTGGCCAAAGAATCAGAAGAGGAATAGCTTAACAAGACAGAAAAGTTTTAGACGATAGCCAACCTACTCTAGACAAACACGATGGGAAAATACTGAACCCCACCCCCAGCCCTGACAGCCAAGGCCAGACGTCCATTCTCACCTGGCTGTAATGAGGCACCAATTTGGGAAAAAACAAAAAGCTATGGATCAGCAAGAATGTAAAGAAAACAATAAAAAACAGAATAAAAACAAAAAAACTGGGTTGTCACCAAGAATGCAAAAAATGTAAAGGAAAAATAAAAACAAAAACCTACAGATCAGCAAGAATAGAAACCAGCTCTGAGAACTCTCACCCACTGCTGGAAGCAAGGAGTCAGGAGAGATGCAAACTGGCACAACTTACACTTTGGAAAACAGTATGACACCACATAGTTGAGTATGCATGTATTCCAAAGGCTAGAGACATGAATTTTTAAAAAACTGTTCTAAGCATTGATTACTAGAGGAAACAGCAGAAACAGTACAAACAGCAGAAACAACAAAAGCTGATAAAATAGTAAAGTTTGGGTGTAACAGTGACTGAGTAACAGCTACACATCAACAAATAAATCTAGAAATAACATAATGTTGAGCAAAATAATCAAGTCAGAGACTACAGTATGTTTCCTTTATATGAACATTCAAAAACAAGGAAAAGTAAACAGTTCACTCCTTAGTGATACATACATAACTGTGAAAACCAGTCATAAAAACAAGGGACTGATTAACTGCTGTCTCTGAGATGAAGATGCAATAAGGAAAGAACACCCAGGAGACTATAAAGATACTGACAACACTGTCTCTTAACCTGGGTAGTGAACGTTCACTTCATTCTTCTTCAAATTGTGCACATTAAGGTTTCACAATTCAAATTTGAAAATTTACATTATTCTGTATGAAAATTTCACAAATGTTTAAACAGATACAGCTGACATATTATACATTTAATATAATGAAACTTTACTAAAACTTTGGAGACTTAACAAAGCTACTCATACATCAGTTTCAAAACTACATTCTTTAACCTTCAGTTAACTTTTTTTTAATATATATAATCTATGCATGCTCATGAAAGGTTCCCCACTACATCGGGTTCCTCATGCCAATCTATCTAACGGCAGTGAGCCCCAGACCTCCAATTAGGCCCAAGCTAAATTGAAGCCTTCATTTTCAACTCTTAGAAAAACCTTCCACCAAATCCTGCAGACAGGAGGCAACGAACTGTAAGGAAGTAGTCCTACTAAAAGCATGAAGTGCTATTTATGACTTACCCGAACCACTCCTGTGTACAGCACCAGGTTTCCACTGCCTTCCAGGACCAGCATAGTGTCTATCTTCTAAACAAATAAAGGCAAAAAATTTATTTTCCAATCTGTGCAAATTATGAAGCACAGTGATTTCCAATAAGAAATGTGCCTGCACTTACCTCCACTGGCGCTGCATCCTTTGCCTGTATGTTGGTGATGGAGCCAAAGATGAGCTGGGTTTTATCATTACTCTCTTGAAACTTTACACATCTAAGTATTCAAATAAAAAAACCACAAATACACTACTGATACACGCAACAACCGGTACTGATCTCAAGGATGTATTATGCTGACTGTAAAAAGTCACTTTCAAAAGGTTACTTACTGTATGATTCCTTTATAATAACATATTCAAATGACAAAATTATAGAGGTGGAGAAGAGATTAGTGGTTGCCAGAGGTCAGGGATGGAGGTAGGTGGGTGTGGGCTACAGCATAAGAGGGAGCTATGAGGTAACACAGAAGTTCTGGCTCTTGATTGTGGTATTTGCACAAATCTACACATGGGAGAAAACTTCATGGAATCAGACACACACACAAACGAGTACACATAAAACTGATGAAGTCTGAATAAGATGTGTGGACTGCGCTGACGTCAATCTCCTTGCTTTGATCACGCACTAGTTATGTGAGGTTATCTCAGGGGAAAGTGAAGGATACACAGGACTGCTACTATTTTACAACCTCCTGTGATCTGTGATAATTTCAAAAGTAAAAGGTAGTAAGTGGGCAAATATATGAATAAACATTTCACCTAAGGAGATAAATGAATGGCTAATAAGCGCACAAGATGCTCAACATTAAAGTCATTAGGGAAATGAGAATTAAAACCACTTCACACCCACCAGAGTGGCTACAATCAAAGAAAATGACAATATGCAATGTTGCTAAGGATGAAGAAATCGGAACCCTCCAACAGTGCTGGTGGGAGTGGAAGATGGTGCAGCTTACTTAGAAAACATGTTCAGTAATTTCTTTAAAAGTCTACAAAGAATTTATTGTTTGATCCCCTCTGAGATACCTACCTAAGAAAAATGAAATCATATATACCAACACAAAGACTTCTGTACCCATGTTCGTAGCACCATAATTCACAATGGTCAGAAAAGTAGAAACAAACCAAATGTCCATCCACTAATGAATGGATAAACAAAATGTGGTAAATCTATACAATACTACACAGCAAGAGGAATAAAATACTTACATATGTTACAAGATGCTAGCTAAAAAACATGCTAAGTGAAAAAAAGGTGCACACAAAAATACTGTATGGTTCTGTTTACATAAAATATCCAGAATAGGCAAATCTACACAGGCAGAAAGTGTATGGAGTAGTTGCCTGAAGCTGGGAATGAAAACAGAGACTGATGCAAGTATAAGGGATCTTTTTAAAGTGACAGAAGTATTTTAAAACTGGGTTGTGGTGATGGTTATATAACTCTGTAAATTTACTAAAAATCTTTAAATTGTACACTTAAAACACGTCAGTTTTATGGTATGTAAATCATTTCAAGGTGAAAGAAGAGGAAGAAAGAGCAAAGCACAGCAAAGCAGCCCTAAGCCTGTTTACACGCAATCAGCGAGACACGCGTGCGCACTTACCGTAACTGCAGCTGGGACTCTACTAAGAAGCACAAGAACTTTTGCCCACATAAGTCAGACGTAATAAAGACTTTGGAGGCCTGTGAATTTTTCTCCCTGTAACAGATACATTAATAAAGGAACTGTTAGCACTGGCTCAAAAGTCTACCACAGTAACAAATAAGTCTTTGAAAATGTTCTGCAAGAAATACTACTTGAGCCAAGCAATAACCTTGAAGAGACAGAAGCACTTCTAAGAACTGAACTTCATGCTCTCTAAAATGCCTTTCAGTTCTTTGATTCTGAGTCCACTGCATGGCTTTTTGAGGGGAAATGACAATAAATGTAATCACTACCAACAGACTTTTTAGTTCCATAATATGCAAGTTGCCTACTGTTAAAGGAACGCACACTTGACTTCCTATCTCTTAAAGGGCCTAACGGGTCAGATTCTTTACAACGTGACCTCTCCAATCTGTCCTCTCTCTCTCTCTCTCAGATTAGGCTCCACTTGATCCCTTTTTTAAACCGTATTCGAAAATTCTCAGTTCTCAAAAAATTTCTTTGTAGAGTGGTACAGAAGACCATAACTCTGTAAAATAAGGATCTGTAATATATTCAACTTACCAATAAGCTATTTAAAGACAAGTGATTTTTAAATATAGGAAACTTTTATTTTATATACAAGGATTAAAACCAGAACCTACTTCAACACGGTACTCACATCTTTACCTTACCACTGCCTATCCCCTGCCCGCCAGTCTAAGGACACACATTCGCCCTCTATTTCACAGAGCCCCACTCCTGCCCCATCTATCTGATACCCATGACCTTCTTCTCCCCAAGGCTAATCTCTCCACTTGTGCTCCTTCCTGGCTCCTTGTTCCAGCAATCATTTCCTCTCCTTCATACTTTCAATGCTCTCCCTGCTCTGGGCATAGTCCTTGTAGCCTACCCTTTCATATTAAAATTTAAAAAGTCTTGAAATACGAAAACAAACTAAGTATTAAGTTATATAAAGGATTTATTATAAATTTGGCTGGCTGTAAAAACAGAACTCTCCCTTGACGCTGAGGCTCCCTCTAGCTAGTTTGTATTCTCATTCCCATTCAAAGGTAAAATCCTTAGACAGTCTGCATACCTACGTCCACCTCCTCTGGCCCATACACTTCTCCCACCCCACTCCACTCCGCCTACCCCGCCTACCCCGCCAAGCGCTCTGGCCGAGGTCTCCAGTGAACTCACTGCCGCCCGGGTGCCGCCTCTCTGAGCTCCTCTCTCAGTGCCACATCTCAGCGGCACCTGGCACCTGGCAGTACTGGCACTTTCTTCCTAAAAGCCTCTTTCCCTGTGTTCCGTGACAAGTCCTGCTCCTTCTCCCGCATGCCCTCGCTTGCTTTGTCTCTCTGCAGCAGCTTTCTCTCTTTCCTCTTTTCACCCTCAAAATCCTAAGCTTCCAGGACTTCAGTCCCTAGCCCTCTTCTGTTTATACACAATCTGGTTTTAACTATTTGGAGGTCAGAGACTCTCTGAGAATCTAACGAATGCGAAAATCCTCTCCTCAGGAAAAGGCCTCTATACAACACACACCCACGACTACTGCTTCCATTCCCGCAGGTTACGTGAACCAGCCCCTGCAACTACAGGCTCATCCACGGGCCCCCAGGAGCCCCGGGAACCTGACCTCCACGCACTCCATAAATTCCAACCCACCCATCTTGCCTTTGTCACCACTGATAAGCGACAGCTCTCTCCCCAGAGCTTATGACCCACCTATAGAGCACATGGGCATAATACAGAGGTTATGACCACACATAAAGCTGTAAGGACACAGCTCTCACCAAAGTGAACAGACCTAACGGGCAATCTCTCTCAAGCTCCCCTTTCTCAGCCCCTTCCCCTCCTCCTGCACGAACAAGGTGAGAGTATGTGTAATTCCCTGAACATACCACATACTCACACGTCTGAACTTCTGTTCTGATCCCCTCTAACTACTGTGTCCTGCCCCGCTTACCCACCCAGCGCACATCTAGTCATCCTTCCAAAGCGCTCCCAGCAGAACCAGCAGTGTCCCCTGTGTCATCCTTCTCCAACTATCTCTTTTTGAGGACAGGGACAGTGACTCACTTGCCTGATAACCCACAGCCACTAGCACACACACTGGCACTGGCTGAATGAATGAATGATTAAAGAAAACATAAAAAAAGAAAGGTCATGCAGAACAGAGGTCTGAGCTGTGTTTCCCAAAAAGAACCGCTGATACTCTACTCACATAAAGACAAAACTTAAGAAAAATGTTACAAAATCCCCAGCTTCCTAGTCTCTGGAAATTAGTTGCTTCTCCCTAAAACATCAAACACCTCAAATCTGAGCAGTTACTACCACTAAGTCAGGGAAGAAATGACAAATGACAAATGACAAAAGAATATCCCTTAACATCATTAGTAT